ATGGCGGACGTAGTAACGGCTGTGATTCGTCGCGGAGGCGCCGGAGGGAGTAACCGCGTCACGGACGGTGATCTTGAGAGTTTCCTCTTCGGCGAGGATGGTGACACGTCAGACATGGGCAATCGCAGCCGTCGATCGAGCCTCAGCTTCGAGCCGCTCACGGCGCACGACGGTGACGGCGCTCACGGCGGGGGACACGGCGGGGGACAGGGAGGTGGACAAGGCGCGGGACACGGCGACAGAAGGCGGATGAGCGTGGAGGAGAAAAACGCTTTGTGGCGGGAGACCGTCCGCGCGCGCGTGTCGTTCAAGCGCGGAGGGGGAGGGTCGCGGGGGGAGCCGGAGGTGCAGGAGCCGCTGGTGCCGCGGAGCGGGGAGCTGGTTCCGCGGAGCGGGGAGCTGGTTCCGCCCGGAGTGACTCGGTCGCGGCCGCTAACGCCGCCGTTAGGGGCGGAGCGAGGCACAGAGCGAGGCACGGAGAGGGGGACGGAGAGGGGGACGGAGCGAAGCGGCGTGTCAGGGTTCGAGATGACTCATCGGAGCGGCATTTCCGGCACGGGAAGGGGAACGGAAAGGGGAACCGATAGGGGAACGGAGAGGGGGACGGAACGAAGCACAACGGCTAGCGGAGCAGAACGGACTGGAAAAGGGGGTTCGAATAAGGACCGAGACGCGGCGGTGGTTGCAGCTGCGGCAAAGGTTCTGTCGGTGTCTGCTGCAGCAGCGATCTGGGGGGGGAGTCAGAAGGAGGGCAGTACTGTGGGCACGGGGAGCAAAGTGGGACCAGACTCTGCTAATGTGTCTAAAAGGTGGGAAAAGCGCCACACACATTTTTTTTTTGCCTGGAAATTGAAAATTGTGAGGATGGGCAGGCCAACGATTTCAAAATGGACTCCGAAGAAGGTCTGAGTTTGAGAAGAGTAGAGAGAAGGGGAGAAAAGGCGATACAGAGTGGGGCGAGACTTTGGTGGGGCCTCCCCTCCAGGTTCGGCCATGCCTCAGCGGCCGTCCCTCTCCCCGCAGCTTCACCCACACCCGCCAAGGACATCCCCGCTTCCCCTACCCTCCCCCCATCCCCTCCCCTCCCCTCTTCCCCTACCCTCCCCCCTTCCCCTTCCCTCCCCCCCTCCTCCCCTCCTTCCCTTCCCAAAGAGTATGAGCCGTCGCAGGAGGTCCGGTTGGGCAAGCACACGCACATCCTCCCGTCCAGGTCTGGCCATGCCTCGATCGTGACCCCCCTCTCGTCAGCGACACCAGCAAAAGATGTACCGCCGTCCACAGAGTACGATCCGTCCCAAGAGGTCCCGATGGGCAAGCACACTCAAATCCTCCTCCCCTCACTCCCTTTCCGAACCTCCCATCCAGGACTGGCCATGCCTCGACCGTGACCCCGCTCTCGTCAGCAACCCCAACCAAAGGCACACCCCCGCCCACGGACTACGATCCGTCGCAGGAAGTGCCGATGGGCAAGCACACTCACATTCTCCTCCCAGACGGCACCTTCAAGGTCCCCACGGGGGAGGATTATGATGCCACTACTGCCACGGGTCAGCACACCACCACGGGAAGGAGCAGTGGTGGCGGGGGAGGGAGCAACCGGCCTGTGAGGCAGCCTGCTGTGCATTGGGAGGACTGGGCGAGCGATGAGGAGGAGGACGAAGAGCAGATTGATGCTGTGATGCTGGAAGGTGAGTGGGGAGAGGGGGGGAGAGGTCAAGCAGCCTGTGAGGCAGGATGCTGTGATCTGCATTGGGAGCAGCTTGATGCTGTCATGCTGGAGGGTGAGTGGTGGGGGTGTGGGTGTGGGTAAGTCAATCGTGGTTGATACATAAAGGGGTATGTATGTGATAGCTGTTAAGGCACTGGGGGAGGATTGGGCGAGCGATGAGGAGGAGGATGAAGAGCAGATCGATGCTGTCATGCTGGAAAGTGAGTGGTGTTGCGGGATTGGGTAGATTTACGTTCACCCGGTATCGTTCCTCTAATTTCCGTTCCTCTTACTCTCATTCCTCTGCTTTCAATGCTGTCCACATGGCATTGCTCAGCTTGCAGGCAGACCCTCCTTTCCTAACCTCCCTTCCTCCTGCTTGCATTCCACACATCCATTTAAAGGTCAGAGCAGTGGAGAAACGGCTGGAAGAATGCAAGATCCTGGTGTCGCCCCTCCCTCTGCTCTGCTTCGTTACCTTGTATTTTGCGCGCCCTTCTTCATGCACACGCCTTTCCTCCACACCGTCCCCTTCCCTCTCCCTCCTTACTCGCATCGCAAACCTCTACCTCAAGGTGAAGGCGGCAGATAAGCGGCTGGACCTCTTACAAGAACCTGGTGCCGTTCCTTCCTCGGATTCATTCTGCTCTACATGGTGGTGCTCTACATGGAAGCACACTCGCAGGCTCCCTCACACCTCCCCTTTCCTCCCCTCCCTGCCCCTCCAGACATTTACTTCAAAGTCTAGGCGGCGGATAAGCGGCTGGGCGATTATAAGAACCTGCTGTCGTTCCTCTGCTTCATTGGTGCTCTACCTCGTGGTGCTGTACAAGCAAGCCGACTCGCATACTCCCCTTCCCCCTCCTCCCCTGCCTGTCCCCCTCACTGCAGACATCTATTTCAAGGTGAAAGCGGCGGATAAGTGGCTAGACGACTACAAGAACCTGCTGTCGTTCCTCTGCTTCCCGCTTCCTTCCTCCCTGCTTGGATTTCAGACATCTATTTCAAAGTCTAGGCGGCGGATAAGCGGCTGGGCGATTGTAAGAACCTGCTGTCGTTCCTCTGCTTCATTGGTGCTCTACCTCGTGGTGCTGTACATGCAATGCAAGCAAGCCGACTCCCCTTCCCGTCCTCCCCTCCTCCCCCACCCACTCCTGTAACACCAGACATCTACTTCAAGGTGAAGGCGGCCGACAAGCGACTAGACGATTATAAGAACCTGGTGTCGTTCCTCTGCTTCATCGTGCTCTACCTGGTGGTGCTGTACATGCAAGCCGACTCTACCGATGGGTTTGAAGTGTCCACAGCACACAAAATACTGCTCCCTTCGGGGGCATCAGGCAGTGAGCTCAACGCCATGAGTGGACCGGACGAGATGTATCAATGGGTTAACGATAGCATTATACAGGTGCGTGGCAATACTGGTGGGTGAGCAATACGGAACAATAGAGGTGGGGCAGGATGGGGCAGGATGAGGCAGGGTGAGGCAGGATCAGCACCAAGGATCAACACCACCCCATCCCTATATCTCATCCTGCCTGCTATTTTCCACCCCACCACAGGTGGTGTGGGAGGGGCATCACATCGGCAACAGCGTGTGCGACAATCCCTTGGAGTACGCAGCGTTCGGGCAGTTCGGATGCGAAGCAGTCTGTGGGGTGTTTGAGAACGTGACGCATGTGGTGGTGCCCACTCTCCCCCTTTCTCTCCCTGCCTCCACTGCTCGCCACCAGGTGGTGTGGGAGGGGCGTGTGTGACAACCCTTTAGAATACGCAGCGTTCGGGCGGTTCGGATGTGAAGCGGACTGTGGGGTGTTTGAGAACGTGACGCATGTGGTGATGCCCACTCTCCCCCTTTCTCTCCCTGCCTCCACTGCTCGCCACCAGGTGGTGTGGGAGGGGCCTCACTGCGGCAACAGCGTGTGTGACAACCCTTTAGAATACGCAGCGTTCGGGCGGTTCGGATGTGAAGCGGACTGTGGGGTGTTTGAGAACGTGACGCATGTGGTGGTTCATATCCATTCGTCCTTCTCCTCGCAATCTGACAAGCAGGGCAGCTCGTGGAACCTGTGTATGATTCAGCCCAGCAACCTGTGCTGGTGAGTCACTTGCAAGAGGGAGAGAAAAAAGGGGCATACGTGTGTGCAAGCATGGCAGCTCGTGGAACCTGTGTATGGTTCAACCCAGCAACCTGTGCTGGTGAGTCACTTGCAAGAGGGAGAGAAAAAAGGGGCATACGTGTGTGCAAGCATGGCAGCTCGTGGAACCTGTGTATGGTTCAACCCAGCAACCTGTGCTGGTGAGTCACTTGCAAGAGGGAGAGAAAAAAGGGGCATACGTGTGTGCAAGCATGGCAGCTCGTGGAACCTGTGTATGGTTCAACCCAGCAACCTGTGCTGGTGAGTCACTTGCAAGAGGGAGAGAAAAAAGGGGCATACGTGTGTGCAAGCATGGCAGCTCGTGGAACCTGTGTATGGTTCAACCCAGCAACCTGTGCTGGTGAGTCACTTGCAAGAGGGAGAGAAAAAAAGGGCATACGTGTGTGCAAGCAGAGCAGCATGTGGAACCTGTGCTGTGCTCGTGAGACGGACTAGCTTGTGTTGTTCTCTGTGTGTGTGTGTGTGTGTGGGGGGGTGTGTGGGTGTGTGTGTGTGTGTGTGTGCGTGTGTGTGTGTGTGTGTGTGTGCGTGTGTGTGTGTGTGTGTGCGTGTGTATGCATGAGTGAGAGGGAGTGACGCATTCATGTGCAAGCAGGGTAGCTCGTGGAACCTGTGTATGGTGCAGCCCAGCAACCTGTGCTGGTGAGGGTAGGCATGCAGGTGTGGTGTGCATGAGGCACTCCTCCTTCCCCCCCCCTCTACCCTTCCCTTTCTTTCTGCTCTTCAGGTCCGAGGAGCCTCAGTTGTTTACGAACCTCATTGCGGAGGTGGCGTTAATTAGACCTCTTCATTCCAGAGGGTTGCCTGGCATGTGCACACATCAAGCTGCCCCCTCCTCCCCCTTCCCTTCCACTCTCCTCTCCTCCGTTTTCTGCTTCTGCAGGTCCGAGGAGCCTCAGGTGTTCACCGATCTCAGTTCAGAGGTCGCATTGGACCTCTTCATTCCAGAGGCAACTGGCATGCGCACACGCCAAGCTGCTCCCTCCCCTTTCCCAACCCTCTCCCCCCTTTTTTTCTGTTCCTTCAGGTTCGAGGAGCCTCAGGTGTTTTCGGAGCTCCAATCAGAGATTGCGTTGGACCTCTTCATCCCGGACGGCGACTGGCAGATCAAGCTCGACGCGCCGGGCGGCGGCGTTCGGGGGATAGTGCAAGTGGTCGGCGCACTCAGCAGCAACGCCACCCTGCAACGAACCAACGGCAGGGGCGGCCGAACCAGCGCCCGAGGCTCGGCAACAGGCTGGGGAACGGCCTGGAGTGTGTCAGGCAACGGGGGAGAGGCAGGGGTGGTGGATACAGCACTAGCACAGCTAACAGACCTGGGAGCCAGTAAAGACGTAGTGGTAACATGGGGTGGGTGTGCGACGAGTAAATCAACGGTTGCGAACGGCCGATCGGCGGTGCTGGCTAAGAGGCTGTATGGGTGTAGGGCGACGTGTGCTGCAATGGCGACGTGTGTTCTGGGCGCGTGTGAGAACGTGGGGGTGGAAGAGGCTTCGGGCGTGTTTGTGGACTGTGCTGTTGTGTGCAACATGGCGCCCTTTACAATCACACAGTACACCAACTGGACTTGTGTTGAGGTGAGGGGTTTCCTGTGCAGTGAGGTGTAGTGCAGTGCTGTATGGTGCAGTGGTGTGCAACATGGCACCCTTTACCATCACACAGTACAGCAACTGGACTTGTGTTGAGGTCAGCAGGTTGATGCAATAAGAAGTAGTCTTGAAGCAGCAGAGCTTCTCTGACTCTCGTGCCATCTGGCATCCCTGTTGAAAAGAACTTCCAGACCTGCTCACGTGCCTTTACCATGTTCGACTTTTGAGGCGCCTCAAAAGACTTCTCGACATGCTCACGTGCCTTTACTTACCATGTACCGCACACATGACCATATGCTTGGATGCTCATTTATTCACCTCCAGCATCCTATATGCTCATCTCGGAATCCCCATATGCTCACCTTTGCTCCTGCCTCTCTTCTCTCTCTCCCTCCCTCCTCAGATGCTACGGACCACCACCACCGTCCTGAAGAACATCAACTGCTCTGGTGGGGATACACCGACTTTAACTCATTTGTGCACCCCCATGTGCTCCTGTGCTCTCTCCCCCTCCCTCCTCAGATGCTACGGACCACCACCACTGTCCTGAAGAACATCAACTGCTCAGGTAAGAGCATGTCTGCATGTGATTCATTTCTGTACTCGTTTTGAATGTTTCAAGTCATCCAAGAACTAGAGTGGCAAAGCAACCACCCGTGACCCGTGTCCCGAGGAACGGCGAAATTCGGCCCAAGGATTCTGGGCATGTACGTGCAACGGAGAGCAATGAGAGGAATCTGAACGCAACAATGCATAGTTCAGGCGAATATATGATTTTTTAACAGAGCTTCTGACTCTCAGTTGACTCAAAAGCCATCCCTTCTTTCCGTTTTCCCTGCTTCCCTCTCCCACTTCTCTCTCTCCTCTCCACACAGTGAACGCCACATATGTCAAGGCTTTGAGAAGAAACGCCAGCAGCAGCAGCAGCAGCTCCACCCCCAGCAGCAGCAGCAACAGCAGCAGCAGCAGTGCACATGTGAGTAGTACTAGCAACTGCCTGCCAGTCATGCTGTGTCTAGTAACCTCTTGGAGTATCAGTCGCCTGGCGTCAATCCATACACTCATGTGTGCTTTCTGTTCATGCTGCAGCGTCAAGTCAACCTTCTCATCCCCACACTCCCCCACCGGCCCCTTTTCGATGGATCACCCATCCATGCCCCCCCTCTTCAGGTGACATCCCACCAGCGCCGGTTGCTGCAGCTGGTCCGAGGGCAACCACCCCAGACACTGACACTGCAGCAGAGGCAAGCACAGGGGCATGTGCTGCGGCAGATGAGCATGCCCGCTTCCTTGGAAGACCAGGGGAAACTACAGGTGAACGCACAGGAGAGAGCTTTGAAGCATGCTCAGGGAGAGGCACAGGGGAAAGTACAGGAGCAATCACAGAGGAGGAAGATGCGTTCTGTTGCGAGAAAGCAGACAGCGGGTCGAATGCTGGGCTTTTCCGGGGAATTGGATGGAGATGTGCCGCTTCCTCGCCACCACCACCCACTGTGGCATGTGATGCGAGATGTTCCGGAGGAGCGGATGAGACAAGGGGCAAAGACAAGAGAGGAACACGCGGAGGGAGTGACAGCATCAGAAGATGTTGAGGGTGGGGTGGCAGCAGAAGAAGCAGACGAGGTGGGGTTAGCAGCAGTCAAGGAGAATGAGGAGGCAGAGGGAGCAGAGGTGGCAGAGGAAGAAGGGGAAGAAGGGGAAGATGGGAAAGAAGAGGAAGAAGCAGATGGGGGCTTTAGCGTGTGGACCCACAGCAGTAGCAGAGCAGTCAGCTATGGACACACGGAGAGCATGGAGAGCGTTGAGAGTGCGCGGAGCATGGGAGGCAGCATGGAGAGCATGGGAAGAATCGGTGGATTTATGAGCCATAGAGCCTTGAATGCTGGTCAGTTCCCACCTCAGTTTCCACCTGACTCTGTTGCATCAGTTTCCACCTGACTCTGTTGCATCAGTTTCCACCTGACTCTGTTGCATCAGTTTCCACTTGCTGCACACACTGTGTGTATCCCCACTGACTGGGTCACCAAAAGTGCTTGTACAGTGCAAATCAGGCATCTTATCAGGCATCTTATCAGGCATCTTATCAGGCATCCAATCAGCCATCTTACACGCGCTGCAAGTTGCATTGGATCTTCTCTTCTCACATGCATTGCCGATTGTCTTGTCTCTCAGTCTCACTCCCGAACCTCGATCTCCACCTCTCCCTATCTCCTTTCTCCCTCGTCCTAATCTTGCCCCTTCCTTGCTCTCATCTCCCTCCATATGCTCCCCATTGTCACTCATCCCGACCCTCACCTCACCCCACACCAGCAGTGCCAGCGCCCAGCCCACTTGCACAGACAGCAGCAGCAGCCACTGCTGACGCCTTGTTTCCTACCACCCTCACTGATAATTCTGCCAGCTTTGACTCGTACTCAGGCAGTAGTCTAACCCAACCACAACAGCTGCAACCACCACCCCAGCAGCAGGAGCAGCAGCAACAGGTGTTTCAAGGCCAACAGCAGCAGGCAGACGCACAGGCGAACACACAGGCGGTCACAGACGCACAAGCAGTTTCACAGGCGAACACGCAGGCAGTGACAGGCGCACAGGCAGTCACAGATGCACAGGCAGGCGCACAGGCAGTAACGGACGCGTGGGCGGCTCTAGGCCCCACGGAGCGGCAGCGGTGGTTCAACCTGCGAGTGGCCGTGAGCCGAGCGCTCTTCTCCTGGGTGGGGGATGCCTGCCTCGCTAATGTCTTCTCCGCCGTGTCTCTCGATGCTGCAACCCGGGCCCGTGTTTCTGCCTTCTTCTGTGCGCTGCTGCACAGTCCTGGGGAAGCGCAGGGTGGGAAGGGTGCTGCTGCTGCTGCTGCTGCTGGCGGTGCTTCTGGTGCTGTTTATGGTGGTGCTGGTGCTGGTGGTGGTTTTGGTGGAAGGCTGGAGATTACGGATACTGTTTTGACAAACGGAGCAGCTGTGGATGCTACCCTGCTCGGCAGCAGTTTGACCAGCAGCAGCAGTTTGAGCGGAGGTGGTTCATTTAACGTGGCAGCAGTGGGAGGGAATGGCTGTGTGCTCGGCCCTTTCACATCTGTCGATGGATCCATGGCTGCTGCTGCTGCCCACTTCGCCTTTCACGGCTTCCCTCCTCCTCCTCCTCCTCCTGGGTCCAATAATACCAACACCAACGGAACCGCTCCTAAGGCAGCTGCTTCTAACGGGGCTCCTTCTAATGAAACCGCTTCTACCGCCAGTGCCTCTGCTCTGCTCTCCAGGCGTGTGCGCATGTCCCGGGATCAGTTTGCGCGGTTCGTGGGAACCTTCCTGGATGCTGTGGAGTCGGTGGTGGTGGTGGATGGGGCAACGTTGTCTCGCCTCTCGTCGCACCTCTACGTCGCTGGTATCGGGCTTGTGGATGGCAGCATAGAAGGCTGCAGTCTGCGTGAGTATTTCTCTCTTTCCACTTTGTCATCACCTTTAGTAGTGGTGGTGGATGGGGCAACGGTGTCTCGCCTCTCCTCGCACCTCTACATCGCTGCCATCGGCCTTGTGGACGCCAGTATGGGGGGCTGCAGCCTGCGTGAGTGTTGCCCTGCTGCTTGTTGTGCTCCTACCCTCTTTTCCACTTTGTCATCTCATTCTGAAACACGGTGAAGGTGGTGGTGGTAGTTGTGGTGGTTTAGGAGTAGTTTTCCGAATCGCCAATCTCCCCCCTTTTCCCTTCCCTTTTGTTCCCCTTGCCCAATGCAGATGGGCGCTTGCTGGAGTGGGCAGTGGGGGCGGATTTCAATGTGACAGTGGGGAGAGGTGACAGTGTGCAGTTTGTGTGGGCCGATGACTATCCTCACTCCGTTAAGGGTGCGTGCGTCCCTCCAGTACCCCCCTTATAAGCCCCCTAATAGCCTCGCATATAAGCCTCCCACCTGTGCATTCCTCGCCTCTAATGCTTTGCCAATGGGTGTTATTTTTTACTACTCCAATGACGATGGTAACGCACGTTTGGCCAATTGCCCAATTACCTTCCCTGCACACCCCTTCCTTATCCCTCCTCCAGTGCGTGGGCTGGGCAGCAGTGCGGGCGACAGTCTTTTCAAGGGCTATGGCGCCAACCGCATGGTGCTATCAAGGCACAGCCGCTGCGCGCCAGACAACGTGGGCACCATGCCGCTAGATGGCCCGCCACACCCGTGTGCCCTCTGTAAGCTGCTTGCATCCCCTGTGAGTCAGGGGCTGACGTGAGCCGTGTGCCACACCATGCCAACCGCATGGTGCTCTCTGTAAGCTGTTTGCGCCCCCACTGTGTGAGTCATGGGCTAACTTGAGCCATGTGTCAAGGCACAGCCGCTGCGCACCAAACAACGTCGGCACCATGCCTCTTGACGGCCCACCACACCCGTGTGCTCTCTGTGAGTTGTGGGTTGCCTTGGCTTGAGACATGTGCTCTGTCTTGGGCTGCCATGTGCTCTCCTAATGCCATGCCAAGTTGCCAACCGCATGGTGCTGCCGAGGCACAGCCGGTGCGTTCCGGACAATGTGGGCACCATGCCTCTTGACGGCCCGCCGCACCCATGCGCCCTCTGTGAGTTGCTTGTTGGGTTGGCATGTGCTCTCCATATGTCGTTCCAACCGCATGGTGCTATCAAGGCACAGCCGATGTGCTCCAGACCACGTGGGCACCATGCCGCTAGACGGCCCGCCACACCCGTGTGCTCTCTGTGAGTTGTGTTCTGTGTGTGTCGTGTGTGCCACAACAGCCAACCGCATGGTGCTGTCGAGGCACAGCCGATGTGCTCCAGACAACGTGGGCACCATGCCGCTAGACGGCCCGCCACACCCATGCGCCCTTTGTGAGTTGTGGGTTGCAACTTGTGCCCTCTGTTCTGTGAGTCTCGTAATGCAAGAGGTGTCTTGTGTGCCGCACCAACCGCATGGTGCTGTCGAGGCACAGCCGGTGCGCTCTGGACAACGTGGGCACCATGCCACTAGACGGCCCGCCACACCCGTGTGCCCTCTGTAAGCTGTTTGCACCCCCACTGTGAGTTGCTTGCACGTGCACCCCCTGTGAGTTGCCGGATTACTTCACTTGAACCCTGCACTTACACTACTGCCTTCACTCAAACCAGCTCCTACAGGCAGTTTGTGCCGAGGGCCCCCCCTAACTCTCTCTCCCCCTTCGCCTCTCCCTCCACTCCCCCATTGTTTAACAGATGGACCCTCAGACACCCCCGCATTCACCTACACAGCTGTCTTCACCCAAACCGGCTCCTACAAAGTGGAGAGCAACTGATGCATGCCGAGAAGCCCTGTAACGCTCCCTCTCACTCTTTGCTCCCGCCCCTCTCTCTCTCTTCCCTTCGGCAACAGATGGCCCCTCAGATGCTCCTGTATTCACCTACACGGCTGTCTTCACTCAAACTGGCTCCTACAAAGTGGAGTGCGGGCGATTTGGGGCCGATATGACTGCGACAATACATGTTGTGGATGATAGCGAGGATGACTCTAGTGAGTATGCAGCTGTTGGTGTGAGTGACCTGTGGATGTGTTGTTGATATAAAGTACCTTTTGCAGATAAATAGTACCACTTGCTTATACAAACTTATGTTATGCTGTGTTATAATAAGACTTGTTTGTAGCGAGTACCATGTGCGTACTGACACAACTGCCCTGACGAGAGGTTTAACTAGCCCCTCTGTCCTTCACCCCCCTGCCCCTATCTCCCAGCTTTTCTCCTCGACCCGTTCTTCGATGCCAACACCAACACCAACGCCACCAACGCCACAACCAACCTGCCATGGAACCCCACTTCTCTTCTCTTATCTTACTTCCTCCCCTGCCCCTGTTCCTCCCCCCCCCCCCCCCCCCCAGCTTTTCTCCTCGACCCATTCTTTGATGCCAACACCAACACCACCAACAACACCACAACCCCACCAATCTCTCCACTCACCTCCTCCTGCTACCCCGGCTGCTCATTCGGCAATCTAGCCGACGGCCGCTGCGATCCCCTCTGCAACAACCACCACTGCGCCTTCGATGGGGGTGACTGCGAGTGCGCTACTTTGGCTGGAAGCGGCGGGGGAGTGGGGGGGGAGTGTCCGTGCCCTGCTGGACAGACCAGGTCGGAGGCAGGCTCGTGTTGCCCCACCGATGCTGTCGGCACGAACCTGCTGTTTCCGTTCCAGCTGCGCTCGTTCGGCCCGGACGCGCATGCGAGCAACACACAGTTCTCAGAGCTGTATGAGAAGCCACTGCACCGGCACGTGACCGAGAGGAACAGGTGGGTGGGTTGAGATTCTGTGAGGGAGAGGAGCTGTGGGAAGAGGGAGAGTGGGAATGCAGTAGAGCGCAGCTGTTTTTGCATTGTAGAACCATCTCTGGCAAATATGATGTTTCCGTTCCAGCTGCTCTCGCTCGGCCCGAACGCGCATGCAAGCAACACACAGTTCTCGGAGCTTTATGAGAAGCCGCTCCATCGACACGTGACCGAGCGGAATATGTGCGTGCAAGGGAGTCGGGACAAGGTGGGAACAGGTGGGCTGTAAGTACATGTGCTCGTTCGGGCCGGACGTGCATGCGAGCAACACGCAGTTCTCGGAGCTTTATGAGAAGGCGCTGCACCGACACGTGACCGAGCGGAACAGGTGCGTGCAAGGGACAAAGGAGGGGAAACGGTGGGTTGTAGGGGAAATCAGAGGAGATGTGTGAAACCGCCACTAGGGCCCTCATTCCTTTTCCTAATGCAGGCTGTGAGTGGGTCTCTATGTGCTGCAGACCCGCTGGGGCTCCTTCAAGGTTTCCACTCCCACCATGCCCACCCACTCTCACATTCGCTCACCCCTTCTCAACCCTTCTCACCCGATGCAGGCTGCTAGTGGGTCTCTACGTGCTGCAGACCCGCTGGGGTTCCCGCGAATGCCCTTCCAAGAAGTGAGTGCCTCAGGGGTTGTGAAAAGGTGGATGGGTGTGTGTGAGAAGTGAGCGTGGGTGAAGAGCTGGGTGCAGCTGGTTTTCCGAGATTTCTCAAAAAGGGTGAAGAAATCCGCGTGTATTGAGGTGATTTGTGAGTTTTGAGACGTCTCGAAATCCCATGTATTGAGGTGATTTTTTAGGCGCCTCAATAATCACCTCAATACAAGCAAGTGGGAAAAGGGTGAAGAGCTGGGTGAAGCAGGTTCTTGAAAATTCTTATTACGGGTGAAGAGTTGGGTGAAGAAGTGAGTTAGGGTGAGTGAGAACTTGAAAGCGGGTGATTGGTTTCCGTTCAGCTCTATGAGCAGAGCTCTGTAACCACTCGGTTTGCATTGTACCGCTCTGTTCTCTGCCTCAACCCCTCTGGACCCCTGTAGGTTCGCGAGCATCTGGCCGCACTGCCTGAACGCCACTAGCCTCACGTCCTTAGGCATCACCTGTGCTTTCTGTACTGCACTAAACCACGTTGCACCTTTCTTTGCCTGCATGTTAGCCCTATTCCTATTCCTCACTCCCCAACTGCAGGTTCGCGAACATCTGGCCGCACTGCCTAACGAATGCCACCAGCCTGACGTCCTTCGGCATCAACCCGCGCTTCCTCTCCACCTCCGACCTCTACGACCCCATTGCGACCTCGTGTGCCGCACTGTACCACACTGCACCGCTCTGTGCCCATATGCTGACTATACTCCTCTCCCCTCTCCTCTGCCCTCTCCCCTCCTCTCCCAGGTTTGCAAGCATCTGGCCGCACTGCCTGACGAACGCCACCAGCCTGACCTCCTTCGGCATCAACACGCGCTTCTTCTCCACCACACTTTGCCATATTGCACACCTTTCTCTGCCTGTGCGTTAATCCGTTCCCCTCCCACTGCAGGTTTGCAAACATCTGGCCGCACTGCCTCACGAACGCCACCAGCCTCACATCCTTCGGCATCAACCCGCGCTCTCTGTACCGCACTCAGAGTACCGCATCTCACCGCTCTGTTCTCATGTGTTACTCCTCCCCTCACCCCACCCCTCCCAGGTTTTCAAACATCTGGCCTCACTGTCTGACAAACGCCACCAGCCTGACCTCCTTCGGCATCAACCCACGCTTCCTCTCCACCTCCGACCTCTACGACCCTGTAGTCGCCGCCACCAACCAGACGGGCCTTGAGAACTCCACCTTGAGCTCGGCGCCTCTATTTAATGACGAAGGACTGCCCTACGGCTTCGTTCCCCCCATGGTGAGTCAGTGGAAGGTCAAGAATCGGTCAGGTTGGGGCGGGATTGGGTCAAGTGTGAGTTGCATTCTTCCCCGCGCTTCCTCTCCACCTCCGACCTCTACAACCCTATAGTCGCCGCCACCAACCAGACGGGCCTTGAGAACTCCACCCTCAGCTCTGCTCCTCTCTTCAACGACGAGAGGCTGCCTTATGGCTTCGTTCCTCCCATGGTGAGTCAGAAGAATGGGTCAGGAATGGGTCCAGATTGGGTCAAAGTGTGAGTTGCATTCTCCTCCGCGCTTCCTCTCCACCTCCGACCTCTACCACCCCATTGTGGCTGCCACCAACCAGACAGGCCTCGAGAACTCCACCTCCAGCTTTGCTCCTCTCTTCAACGATGAGGGGCTCCCTTATGGCTTCGTTCGTTCCCCCCACGGTGAGTTGCTCTCTCTAGGGCATCTCGAGTCAGGCAGACAAACCTCCACCTTGAGCTCTGCTCCTCTCTTCAACGACGAAGGGCTGCCCTCCGACCTCTACCACCCCATTGTTGCCGCCACCAACCAGACAAGCCTCGAGAACTCCACCTCCAGCTCCGCCCCTCTTTTTAACGACGAAGGGCTGCCCTACGGCTTCGTGCCGCCCACGGTGAGTCAGAAGCAGAGGTGAACAATGGGTCAAGAATGGGTCAAGAATGGGTCAAAAATGGGTTAAAAATGGGTCAAGAATGGGTCAAGAATGGGTGAAGAATGGGTTAAAAATGGGTCAAAAATGGGTCAACTATGGGTCAAGAATGGGTCAAGAATGGGTCAAGAATGGGCTCGGATTGGGTCAAAGTGTGGGTTGCATTCTCCCCCCAGTACTTCCTCTCCCCCTCCGACCTCTACGACCCCATCATTGCTGCCACGGCCCAACCAGACAGGACTTGAGAACTCCACCTTCAGCTCCACTCATATTAGACAACAATCTGTACTTCGTGGCCACCACCAAGCGCTGAAGCTGCTCATGTTCCTTCCCCCCTTCGTCCCCTTCTTCCCCTTCGTCCCCTTCCCCAAGACGGTCTGGAGTCCTATCCGCTCATATTCGACATCAATCTGCACTGAGTGGCGGCCACCACTCTTGAGCCTGCGTTACACACTCTTCCTCCATGCCCTCCCTCCTTTCCCCTCCCCTCCCCTCCCCTCCCCTCCCCTCCCCTCCCCTCCCCCCAGGACGGCTTGGAGTCCTATCCGCTCATATTCGACATCAATCTGCACCACGTGGCGGCCACCAAGCGACTGCAATGCCTCTTCAACGGCTTCTTTCTTTTGACAAACTCACCAAGCCTCTATTCCCCATGCCCTCTACTCTCCCCTCTTCCTGCCATCCTCCCTCCCTTTTTGCATCTCCAAGGGCTGGTCAAGACCCCCTTTGACTATCCCTTCTTCACACACCCTTTCCCCCCACTGTACCCCTCACCCCAGGACGGTCTGGAGTTCTATCCGCTCATATTCGACATCAATCTGCACCGCGTGGCGGCCACCAAGCGACTGCAGTAAGAGGGGAGAGTAGAGGCGACGGCTTCTACTTTGACAACCTCACCAAGTCCTTCCCGAGTTGACTTTTGAGTCGACTCAAAAGTCAACTCGCCTCACCAAGTCCTTCCCGAGTTGACTTTTGAGTCGACTCAAAAGTCAACTCGCCTCACCAAGTCCTTCCCTTCCCTCCCCACCCATGCCCTCCATTCCCTGTGCCCTCCTCTCCAACCCTTTTTCCTTTCCCCTCCTCCTGCCTCCTCCTGCGCTTTGCCTCCCTCACTCACTCGCCTTCCTCCCTCCCTTTCTCCACATCCTCCTCAACAACCCCCCAGGACGGTTTGGAGTTCTATCCACTGATAATCGACATCAATCTGCACCGAGTGGCGGCCACAAAGCGCCTGCAGTACCTCGTGGACTTTTGAGTCGACTCAAAAGTCATTCTATTCCGACAACCTCACCAAGTCCCCATGCCCCTCTACTCTCCCCTCTCCACTCTCCCTGCCCATCCTCCCTCCCCTTATGCATCTCCGGCGGCAGATCAAGATCCTCTTTTTCTGTGATTTTCTCACTCCCTTCCTCGCTTCCCGCACCCTCCATTCCTCCCCCTTCCCCAGGATGGCCTGGAGTCCTATCCGCTCATATTCGACATCAATCTGCACCGAGTGGCGGCCACCACTCTTGTGCCCGTGTCACACACTCTCCTCCATGCCCTCCCTCCTTTCCCCTCCCCTCCCCTCCCCTCCCCTCCCCTCCCCTCCCCTCCCCTCCCCTCCCCCCAGGACGGGCTGGAGTCCTATTCGCTCGTATTCGACATCAATCTGCACCGAGTGGCGGCCACCAAGCGCCTGCAGTACCTCGTGGACGGATTCTATTTCGACAACCTCACCAAGTCCATTGAGTTCGCCCTCATCACTTACAACGCGGATGTCAACATGTTTGTGCTCTCCAAGGTGCGTCACGCTGGTTGAACCTAACTGGTTTGTCCTCTTCACGCTGGTTGGCTCTTGAGGCGCCTCAAAAGGCAACCTCACCAAGTCCATTGAGTTTGCCCTCATCACGTATAACGCGGATGTCAACATGTTTGTGCTCTCCAAGGTGCGTCACGCTGGTTGGCTTTTGAGGCGCCCCAAAGGTCAACCTCACCAAGTTTATAACGCGGATGTCAACATGTTTGTGCTCTCCAAGGTGCATCAAACCGGCTCTAGCTGGTTTCTTATGTGTGCATTCCATTGCTTGCCCATGTGTGGATCCATGTCTTTGCCTAATGCATTTCCTCGAATATAGCCTAAGACGCTTCAACCCATATTCGTATTTTTTTCCTCTCACCTTCTCCTCTTTCTCTCCCAGATCCACATAGAGGTGGACGTTGGAGGGAAATTAGGCTACACGTACCGCCTGGTGCCAATCCCGGTGGAGCCGTACTCGTCCGCGTCCTCCTACGCACAGATGGTGCTCGAGATCATCTACGTGGTGTGTGTGGCCTACAACCTGCTGGAGGAGGTCAACGAGATGTTTCAGACGTACCGCCACTCAGGCAGCTTTCTTCACCACTTTCGCCAGTTTGGCAACTGGATCGACCTGCTCTCGCTGTCGATCCAAGTCTGGGGCATCGTCGTCTGGTGAGTGCTTGCTGTGCCGTGCTGTGTGGAATGGAGAGTGCTGTGCAGTGCTGCGTAGTGTGCGTGTGCCTGAGCCTGCTTCGGGGACATACCGCCTCACGGGCAGCTTCTTTCATCACTTCCGCCAGTTTGGCAACTGGATAGATCGACCCGCTCTCGCTCTCCATCCAGATCTGGGGCATCGTTGTTTGGTCAGTGTTAGTGATGTGCGGTGATGTGTGGTGATGTGCGGTGTGTGTGGTGTTGTGCTGTTCCGTTCTTCTCAGTCCCGACATCAGCGTCCGCTACAACGTGTATGCCTCACTCACCCCTGCCCAGCCAGCCATCCTCACACACCCCAGCACTTGCTCCGATCTCTCACCCTGCACCTTCGTTCCTCCCCTCTCACTTCAGGATCATCTATGGTACAGCACCTCTCGCCTCTCCCTGACATCAGCGTCCACTACAACGTGAATGCCTCACTCACCTCACCCCTGCCCAGCCAGCCACCCGCACGCAACCCGGCTCTTTCTCCGATCTCCCACCCTGCACCTGCCCTTCCTCTCCTCTCAGGATCATTCATCATGGTACAGCACCTCTCACCTCGCGTCCCTTGCTCTTTCTCTCTCACCCTCGCATACACACCCCCATCTCCCCTTCCTCCCTTCCTCCTCTCAGGATCATCATCGTGCAGCAGCTCTCGCCCGTCTCCGACATCAGCATTCACTACAACGTGTACATATCCCTCGATAACACCGCACAGCAGTTCTAGGCGGTCAAATGCAGCATTCTGAACACCCCCCCCCCTCCCCCCCCCACACCACCACTCCCTTTCTTCCCTCCCCTCGGGATCATCATGGTGCAGCAACTCTCGCCCCTCTCTTACATAACTGTTCGCTACAGCGTGTTCGCGCTCCTCGATGACACGGCTCCGCAGTTGTGGGCGGTCAACACAACCTCCTCCCTCCTCTCCCCTCCTGCTACTACCTCCCCTCTCCTCAGGATCATCATGGTGCAGCAACTCTCGCCCCTCTCCGACATCAGCGTGCGCTACAACGTGTACACGTCCCTCGACGACACGACAGCACAGTTCTGGGCGGTCAACACGACGAATGGGGGCTTTGAGAGGGCGATGCAGGTGTATCGCACCATGGATGACATTATTAAGCTGCGCTCCTTCTACTTTGCTATTCAAGGCATCAAGTGAGTCACCACATTCAAGTGAGTCACCACATTCAAGGCCACATTCAAGACAAGGCAGTTGAGGGAGGTTCAGTGCGGTGCGGTTCTGTGCGGTGAGTGCCGTGCGGCGTTCAGGAGCCTTGGAGAGGGCGGTGAAGTGCAGGTGTATCGCACCATGGATGGCATTATCCAGCTATGCTCCTTCTACTTCGCCATTCAAGGCATCAAGTGAGTCCATTAAGTCGTCACACCCAAAACCACAGGCAGGCAGGTGGGGGTGGTGCAGAGCAGGTGTGTGCTGTGAATGCGTTGCTGTGGACCTTAGTGAGGGTGATGCACGTACATCTCACCGGGCCTGCGGCCTACTCAAGCTGATGGACCTATTTTTGAGTCGACTAAAAATTAAGTGATGCACGTACATCTCACCGTGCCTGTGGCCTACTCAAGCTGATGGACCTGCAGCCCATCATCATGTGACGAGAGCTGCCCTTCCAATGCCACGCGTGACCCATGTTCACCATGTGTGTGATGTTCTATTCCACCCTACCCCGCCCACTCTCTCTCCCCCTTCATCACACCCCTGGCAGCGTGTTCCTGATGGTGCCGCTCCTTCTCAAACTGATGGACTTCCAGCGCCTTCATCACACCCATTTCCCTCTCTCCTCACCCTCTCTCTCCCCCCTCCCTCCCCCCCCCTGGCAGCGTGTTCCTGATGGTGCAGCGTCTGCTGAGGCTGATAGACTTCCAGCCGCGCATCGGCGTCATCACACGCACCATGGCACCAGCGCTCCCACCCAGCCATCCTCCACTTCTTCCTCGTCTTTGGGATCATCTTCCTCGGCTTCTCCTTCTACGGCTACCTCGTCTTCTCCCACACACCATCCTCTTCTCACCTCTCTCTCCCCTCTCTCTCCCCTCTCTCTCCCCTCTACCGTCTCCCTTCTCTCCTCTCCCTTCTCCCCTCTCCCCTCTCTCCCCCTCCTCTCCCCACTCCACTCCAGCGTGTTCCTGATGGTGCAGCGCCTGCTCAAGCTGATGGACTTCCAACCCCGAATCGGCATCATCACGCACACCATGGCAGCAGCGCTGCCAGCCATCCTGCACTTCTTCCTCGTCTTCTCCCACACACCATCCTCTTCTCACCTCTCTCTCCCCTCTCTCTTCCCTCTCCGCCCTCCCCTCTCCCCTCCCCCCTCCCCCCTCTCCTCTCTCCCTTTCTCCCCGCTCCCTCCCCCCCTGCTCCCCCCTGGCAGCGTCTTCCTCATGGTGCAGCGCCTGCTCAAGCTGATGGACTTCCAGCCCCGAATCGGCATCATCACGCGCACCATGGCAGCGGCCCTCCCAGCCATCCTGCACTTCTTCCTCGTCTTCGGAATCATCTTCCTCGGCTTCTCCTTCTATGGCTACCTCGTCTTCGGCCGAACGCTCGAGCAATTCCGAACCATCCCCAATGCCATGCTCTCCTGCTTCTTCATGCTGATTCAAGACAACTCCACCGCGTATTACTACGCGATGCTGGAGGGTTGGGAGCGGTTGGCTGCGTTTGTCTTCTGGCTGTCGTTTATTGTCATCATGGTGTTTATTCTGATGAATGTGGTGATTGCGATTGTGGTGGACGCATTTATGGACGTTAAGGAGGCGGCTCAGGAGGAGACGGCACTCCCCATTGATATATGGATTCTGCTGCGGAATCTCTGGCAGCGGATTTGCACGCCGTATTGGAGTTTGAGGAAGCTGAGGCACCATCTTCTGTTCCTTGGCACGCATGAGAAGACCCGAGAGGAGGTGAGCGTGTGTGTGTGTGAGGAGTGGGAGAGAGTATGGTGCCTGTGTCAACGGAGTTGGGATTCTGCTGCGGAATTTCTGGCAGCGGATTTGCACGCCATAGTGGAGTTTGAGGAAGCTTAGGCACCACCTGCAGTTCCTTGGCTCGTATGAGAAGACCAGAGAGGAGGTAAGGGGCAGGTGTGTGTGTGGGGGGGGGAGAAGGTGGGAGGTGCAGATGGGGTGAGGGGGGTAGAGGAGGGGTTGTGTCTTAGCGGGGGTTGTGTCTTAGCGGGGGATGATGCGTAAGGGGTGATTCACGTCTCGGCAGGAGCGCGAGGCACTGAGAAGGCCACTTTTCTTGCTCCTGCAATGCAATCCTCGACCATGCCCCATCTCCCCGCCCTCGCTTACCCTCACTGAAGGAGGAGGCACTGGCAAAGCAGCGCAAGTCGGCACTGGCAGAGGTGGTGGGGGTTGATGCACAAGGGATGCTTCATTCTGGCACTCTCCCGTCCCCTCCACTTGCCTTAGTCCTCCCCTTGTCTCTCCCTGAAGGAGGAGGCACTGGCAAAGCAGCACAAGCCGGCACTATCAGAGGTGGCAAGGATGCTGCGCACGGGGTGCTTCATGTCACAGGAGGAGCGCGAGGCACTGAGGCGACCACTCCCCATGCTTCAATCCCCACCCCACCATGACCCACCCGTGCCCAATCCATGCCCCACACATTCTTTCCCCTTCCCTTCTCCACTCCCCCCTTCCACTTGCCTCACAGGAGGAGGCACTGGCAAAGCAGCGCAAGTCGGCACTATCAGAGGTGGCAAGGATGCTGCGCAAGGGGTGCTTCCAGTCTCAGGAGGAGCGCGAGAGAATGAGACGCATGCACCAGACGAAGAGGGTGGTGGACGTGGGCATTGATATGATGGACATGACGTCGCTCAATGCCCTCATGACCCGCACATATGAGCGCAAGGTGAGCTTGGACTGAATGTGGTTCAGTGTGGTGGAGTGCGGTTGAGTGCGGTGGTATGCGGTGGAATGCGGTTGAGTGCGGTGGTATGCGGTGGAATGTGGTTGAGTGCGGTTGACTGGTGTGCTGCGAATCCACCAGACAAAGAGGGTGGTGGACATGGGCATTGACGAGATGGACAAGATGTTACTCTATGCCCTCATGAATTGCACCTACAAACGCAAGGTAAGTTAAATGCGGTATAGTGCGGTTGAGTGCGTTTGAGTGCGGTTGAGAGCGGTTGAGAGCGGTCGAGTGCGGTGGAGTGCGGTGACTAATATACTGCGGATCAACCAGACGAAGAGGGTGGTGGTCGTGGGCATTGACAAGATGGTTCGAGTGCGACTGACTGTGCTAAACTGTGGTTGACAGGGGATTGCTGGGATTGACCGGGGCTGCCTGGGTTGGCTTGGCTTGTGGGCACTCCAAAGAATGCAGTTCTATGCTCTTATGAACCCTCCCTTCTCCTCCTCTCCCCCATCAAGTGTCCTCTATAAGTCCCACCAAGGCCTTTACCCACCAAGGCCTTTAAGTCCCATCAGGTCGACCCGGCCACTCACTCTTCCCCTCTACACCTCCTCCCTCCTCCCTGTCTCCCTTCCCCCTCCCCATCTCCCTCTCCTACTCTCCCGTTTCCCCCATCTCCCCTGCAGATGGCGTTTATGAGTCCCACCAAGGCCAGCAAGTCGTCTCAAGTGGACCCGGTCACCGTAGCAGAATCAGTCATGGGGCAGTTTGGGAAGAACGTGGAGGTGCCATTGCTCCCAGGCACCCACTCATCCCCCCTACCCCTCTTTCACCTCTCCTCCCTCTCCCCTGCAGATGGCGTCTATGAGTCCCACCAAGGCCAGCAAGTCGTCCCAAGTGAACCCAGAAACCATAGCCGAGTCAGTCATGGGGCAATTCGGGGAGAACGTGGAAGTAGCTCTTTTAGGAGAAAAACCCAAGAAAGGCAAGAGCGGGGAGATGTCTCACATCAAACGGTCCCTGCAGCGGCTGGAAGAGAACGCAGATGAGACAGCGTATGTGCTGCTGCAGGTGCAAGAGTCTCTGGAGAAAATGAGAAGGGAGCAGGAGGAGTTGCAGCAGCAGCAGCAGCTGATGCTGCTGCGGGGGTCTGGGAAGGAGAGGCGGCCGGAGTTGGGGTTGGTGAGGGGGGGGCGGCAGTGGAGTAGAGTTAGGAGGCGATTTGAGGATGATGATGATGGTGATGATGATGATGCTGATGTTTCTGCTGCGGCTGCTTCGCGCGGTTGGGGTGGCGGCGGCGGGAGCAGCAACCGTGGTGGTTTTGGCGGTGCTGCTGCTGGTGATTCTTCTGGGTCTGGTGCTGGTGCTGGTGCCGCTGGTGCTGGTGGCGATGGCACTGGTGATACCGCTGTGAGTGGCTCTACCAAGGGTATAACTCACTCCTCCAGTGCAGGGGAGGCAACTTTAACCGCACTGACCAGGCAGTTCCCTCGATCCATCTCAGGCATGAAAGGAAGCCTCTCTTTCGAGCAGCTCGCTCCCACCTCCCCCACGCGCACCCCGACGCTCCACACCAACAGCCTGCCAAGTCCCATCATACCTGGGTTTATGAGTAGGAGGAGGACCGACAGTGCGTTGCTACCAGGCAGCAGGCAGAAGCCTCACGTGGCGGGTCTAACTGGTGGGTTGAGCTTCAGTGACGGTATGCGTGGGGGAGGTGCGGGAGCGGGAAGGGGAGGGGCAGCGGATGGGATCGGTGGGCTGAGTCCGATTGCGAGTGTCGCCAGTGGGCATATGGGTTTCATGGGGAATGGGGGGATGATGAGTCCGGTAGGATCTCACAGCATGGGGGTGGGGTGGGCAGGGCATGGGGCGGCAACGGGCAGAGGCATGGGAATGGGGGAGTTTGGTAATCCGGGCAGGCAAAGGCGGGCCCGAATGGCCCATATGAAGTCCTTTGGGGGAGATGAGCCGAGTATTCTTGATGCTGTGGCTAAGCTTGGTGGGGGGTTGGGGCGGATGGGCGGCGAGGAGGTGGGGAACACGAGTGGGCGGCACCGGCCGGTTGGTTTTGGCAGCATGCCGAGAGGGGCGGCGGAGGATCTGAGCATGAGAAGGAAAATGGTGGATTTTCCTTCTATGGGAGCCGGGATGGGTACCGGTATGGGGATGAGTGCGGGGTGGGGAATGGGTGAGGATGTGGGGAATATCAGCGGGCGGCGACGAGCTTTAGAGTATGGGTCAACGAGACGAGGAATGCCGGGCGGTGGCATGGTTGGAGCGGGGATGGCGTCTCCTTACCGGGGCGGCGGGTTCTTAGGCTCGGGAACGGCTGGGTTTGCCCAGCCTCGGTCGATCATGGCAGATGGTGGGTTCGGAAACCGGAAGTTCGGGGAAGGCATGGGGGTGGGTAGTAGGAGAATGCCAGGAGGGGAGAAGCAAGGGAATAGGGCTTCGGCATTGCTGGCGGAGCTTCAGGCTGCCCGGGCGGTGGGAGGGGCGGGGAGTTGGACGAGGATTCATGAAGGGGAGGTGAAAAGAGTGCAGGTGAAAGGACTAATGCAAAGAGAGGGTGGTGGCGATCTGTGAAAATAGGAGAGAAGAAAGAACTAATGATTTTCGTAGTTTTAAGCTTTCTTTAGCACCAAGGATGAGTGTTTCAGAAGAGTTGGGAAGAGTAGCACTGTTTGCACTTGTTAATTTATATGACTAATTTAATTAATTAATACTATATTGACGATTCCTCTGTCTGAAACATGGAAGGCCATTATGGAGAACAATGTGGAAGGCCTTCCAAGTTCCACTCTTGATTTTGTCAGGCCCATACATTTCATCCACCATCCTGATGGCAACAATTCATGTCACTGTTTATGCGAAGAGTGTTCCTGCTTTCTCGATCTCCATTGTTGCGCCGACGCGGTCAATAAAGCGTGTAAATTCTGGAGGAGCCATTTTTGGGATCTCCCCTTTCTGGTTTCCGTCCTCCTGGCAGACTACGGCCCTCGGCTCGCGTTGAGTATTCGATAATTTTCAGCCGTAGCTTTTCCGCGGATCCGGTTATTCCTGTATCGCAGATCTATCCGTAGCGTCTCTTCACTCGTTAATCTGTCGTGATTTTCGGGTGGAACAGAGCAGACATATTTGACAGCCCGGGAAATCAGAATTGACCGTAGCTCTTCTGTCAAGCCCAGGTCGTGGATTCCTTTTTTGGAATTTATTTCTCGTCGCATCAGTTGCGTTGCCGCCATGTCGAGACGCTATGACAGTCGCACGACAACGTTTTCTCCGGAAGGCCGGCTGTTCCAGGTGCGATCAGAGTGTGCGATTGCTAATCCAATTCAAAGGTTGTTCCTGGTGCGATGATGGTGAGACTAAGTGGTTCTTTTTAGTCGAGTTTCAGTCGGTTGAGTCAAGTTGAGTCGAATTTCTTCCGCAACAGACGGAGTGGTGCTGGCGGCGGAGAAGCGCATCACATCAGAGCTCCTCGAGACGACTTTTGAAACAACTTAGAAGTCAGACGTTCCAAAAGTCAGACATCTGAAAATTCAACAGACGGAGTGGTGCTGGTGGCGGAGAAGCGCATTACGTCGAAGCTGCTCAAGGGCAGCAACACATACACCCCCTGCCCCCCCCCCCCCCCTTTCTCCGTGTTTCCTCTCCCTCTTTTCCTTTCCCACTCCCTACCTCCCCTCTATCCTCTTTCTCGTCCTCACTCCGCTTCTCTCACGCATTCTCATGCTTCTTCCCCCCCCGCTCCCCCCACCCCTTCCCATCCCTTCCCACCGCTTCCCACCAGGTGGAGTATGCAATGGAGGCCATCAGCCATGCGGGGTCGGCCATAGGCATTCTCGCGACGGACGGCGTGGTGCTGGCGGCTGAGAAGCGCATCACGTCGAAGCTGCTGGAGAGCAGCAAGACGAACGAGAAGATGTACCGCATTGACGACCACGTGGCCGCTGCTGTCGCTGGGATCACAGCTGACGCGAATATCCTTGTGAATTCCGCTCGCCTCGCTGCCCAGCGCTACACGTACGCGTATCAGGTGTGTTTGTAGCGCGTATGAGTGTCCAGATTATCTAACAGGGCCACAAACGGCTAATTTTCTGTTCTTCGTTTCTTCTCCACTTCTTCCTCCGCTATTCTCCCCTCCTGCCGTGTCCAGAAGCCTATTCTATGAATATGAGCTGGTGCAGTTCCTGTGCGACACCAAGCATGGCTACTTCTCAGCTCTCAGCATCCGCCCTCTATTTCACCGAGCCTCTCTCCGAGACAGTGCCCAGATCGTTACGCCTTTCGTGCGGGTCGGAACTTACCCGACAAGGAATTTCGCTACCTTAGGACCGTTATAGTTACGGCCGCCGTTCACCGGGGCTTCGGTCGCCAGCTTTCCCGTACTCGAGTAACCGACTTCCTTAACCTTCCGGCACTGGGCAGGCGTCAGCCCCCATATGTCGTCTTTCGACTTTGCGGAGACCTGTGTTTTTGTCATTGATTTCTAATTTCTCCTCACTCCCCTGCTCCCGTTCTTCTCTTCCCGTGTGCAGGAGCCCATTCCCATGGAGCAGCTAGTGCAGTCTCTGTGTGACACCAAGCAGGGCTACTTCTGATTTCTATTTCTCTTGTGTTCCCTTTCCCCTACTGCTTGCCCGTTCGCTCCCCTTCTCCCCTCCTCCTCCCGCGTACAGGAGCCCATTCCCATGGAGCAGCTAGTGCAGTCTCTGTGTGACACCAAGCAGGGCTACTTCTGATTTCTATTTCTCTTGTGTTCCCTTTCCCCTACTGCTTGCCCGTTCGCTCCCCTTCTCCCCTCCTCCTCCCGCGTACAGGAGCCCATTCCCATGGAGCAGCTAGTGCAGTCTCTGTGCGACACCAAGCAGGGCTACACGCAGTTTGGTGGTCTGCGTCCCTTCGGCGTCTCCTTCCTCTTTGCAGGTGCGCCTCCTCCTCGGTGTCTCTTTCTGTGGGGTGGGGTTTGATTGCTTCGTTTTAAGGCGCACTGCAGTTGTTAAAGTTAAGGTGCAGTTCAACTGCTTCAGAATAAGGTCCGAGTGCATCTTTGTCTGGAAGGTGGCCTTCTCGTGCATCTCTGTATAGAGGGTACGCCAATGATTGGAAGGCTGCCAAAATGAGCAATAGAAGTAGAAACCACAGGTATTGGAGCGAAGCCCTGCTGTAAGAATCATTGTCCCTGACTTTGTAATATTCCCTTTCAAAACTTTCTTTCTTCCAGGGTGGGACAAGCATCATCAATTCCAGCTGTACCATTCAGACCCCTCAGGGAACTACGGTGGCTGGCGAGCGTGTGCCATAGGAGCCAATCACGGCGCAGCACAGTCTCTGCTGAAGCAAGAGTACAAGGAGGAAAAGGGGCCGGGAGGGGAGGCGATCCCAGGGATAGACCTGGAGGGGGCAGTGCAGCTGGCGCTGAAGGTGCTGAGTAAGACCATGGACAGCACGAGCCTGAGTGCGGAGAAGATTGAACTGGCTAAAGTGTGCCTGGAGGATGGCCAAGTCAGGTGAGAGAGATGGCCTGAGGTGTGGGGGCATGAAAGGGGGATGCGGGTGGTTAGGTGGGAGGGGCATCTGGGGCAGGGGTTGTTTTTTAGGTTTGTTAGGAGAGGCAGTTTCGGGGATGGATTTGGAGGGGGCAGTGCAGCTGGCGCTGAAGGTGCTGAGTAAGTCCATGGACAGCACAAGCCTGAGTGCGGAGAATATTGAACTGGCTAAAGTGTGCCTGGAGGATGGACAAGTCAGGTGAGAGATTGGTAGATGCGGGCTGAACCATGAGAGGGAAGGGGTATGGTTTTCTATCATCTCGTATTTGTCCTGACAGTGGCTTGTTTGAGTTGTGTTGTGTGTGTGAGTGTGTGCAGGTACCGTGTGTTTGGGGCAAAGGAGATTGATGAGTTGCTGCTCAAGTATGAAATGGCTCAACCCAAGGAGGAGGAGAGATGAGCATAGGGGCAAGGGGAGTTTATGTTGAGTAGCTTGGTGTGTTTCATGCACCTGTGTTACGGTAGTTGAAATTTTCAGCCAAATTATGTTGAAATTACAGTGCATACATTTCTTCAAAATTTGAGGCGCAAATTTTTATGCTAATCCTATGGTACACCACCTACTACATATGTCAATTAACATCAGCAATTTCATTAGCAAATCAGTCATGGGCCTTGACTTGTGTGTCATTATGGCCAATACAGGTAATCAGCATTATCTCTGCTGTGTCTGCATGCCAAGTATCTACACAGAGCTGCACCAAGCAGTCCCAGAGTATGCATATTGTTACAATTGGTTTGGTTTCACGCTATTCTTACAAGTCCATGTGGCTGTCATAGCACTTGACATGGTGCTCTGCTCATACTTTGTCTTCTGACATTCTTGGGCTTGAGTGGGCCTTCACCTGCTCAGCCCTCTCTGCCTGTTGAGCATTCTTTGCCTTGTACTTGGCATAGGTGTACCACACTCCACCCACTGTGTTGACTGAAGAACCGGCTACAATAAGTGGAGTGGCCTTTACACCACCAAGCACAAAGAATCCAATAGTCTGCAAAAGAAACAGACCACCAGGTCAGATACATACGGTGCCGAGAAGGACAGTGAATAAACAAACGTTTGCGTCTCCTTCCACAGCTCATCATGAGGTGTACATACCGTGCCCAGGACGCTTCGCAGAGTTCCAACGATTGTGGTGGTGAGCGCAGAATTGGAGATCGTACAGAAGAAGAGAGAGTAGTTGAGCAGGACCCCAACCCCCAAAGACACCACAAAGAGAATGGCAAACCCTAGGCTATCTGAGCCATACGAGAGCTCAAACAGTCTGGGGATGGATCTTTGTGCTTCGCCCGTGATTAGGGTTAAGCCAGCGAGCACAGGAAATGACATGACGCCATTGTAAACCAACAGGTCGTTGGTCGTAAAACCTGAGGAAGCAAGGCCAAGGTTGAAATGAAGTTCGTCAAGTTAGGAATGATTTGGAAAGGCAGATTCAGGCATGTCAACTTCACACTTAGGATTAACTCAATCCCAAAGCATACCTTTTTGTGAGCCTGATCGTTCAACGAGGATTAGATACGCTGTTTGAAGCATGCAGCTCACGATGGCCCATAGGTATCCTCGAGCATCAAAACTTAGGTCACCCGCTCCAGCAAGGAAGCAACCTGGCGAGACGAGAATGTCACGTTAGTAAAAAAGAGAGTGGAAATAGGAGATCATGTGCCCCGGAAGTCCGAGATCTACAAGAGAACACACAAAAATACCTGAAACAACGGCGAGCACTGACATGCAGACCTCCAGGGGTGGAGAGCCATCTCCGATCAAGTATTTCGCACAGAGGACCATGACAGGGGTCAGTCGCTTCAGCACGTGGTACACCGGGATGCTCAAAGCTTCAACAGCTGCCAATGCGAAGGCGACGTTCGCGTTGTAAAAGAACACGATCCCGGAAAGCGATCTCGCCGAATTCCAATCAAATGGCTTGACTTCAATCAGGCCAACGCAGCCCAGGGAATACACGATCACCACAGATGCGGCCATTTGGAGCATGAGAAGAGAGTTCGAGTACGGCCATTGCATCAAAACAGCCTGCAACGTCAACCGATCAGCGCATTCAGTTCGAATCCTGGTATGGATGGTTCTTTCTGAAGGACGACACTGTGATCAGACGCCTACTACTGGTAAAGAGCCGGAAAGCCTCGCACCTTGTTTATGAAACCCATGGCGAGTCCCACGAAACAATACAGGAGAGCGGAGAATATGGAGTTGAACATGGGGACGGGGGTACGCCTGGATGCCGAAGCTTTTGCATCTGTTGATGATTCAAGCTCGGCTATCGAAGACGGGCGAGGTATAGAATCTCGTTCTTTCATCGGGATTAGAGCCTCCAAACTGATGTCTTCGGGCTTTGGAAATAAATATCGTAACAACAGAATATCAGCTCCTTTGTACAGTCCTGCAGGTGAAAATGGTTCCGAGGTATTAGTTCTCCCTCTCTAGGCCCACGTATCGTCAGGAAAGTTCTTATAGCTGTAAGAACTCGATGATTTACCTTGAAACACGTCACTTGATGTCTTCAGAGAGCCTTTTCTTTCTGGAGCCATAATATCTCAGACACCTTGTGCCTGTGGCTTCCAGCAACCGCCTCCCTCTAAAGGTATAGTGAATCTAAACAACAACAGAGAAATATCTTCGTTGCGACTACTTCAAGAACGCGCATTAGTGTCAGGCATCAAGAATTGCCTTTACGACAGGCAGCTCTGCGACTAGCGCATTAGTGTCAGGCACCAAGAAATCCCTGTAAGGCAGGAAGCTATAAAACTACGAATCGTATGTGTCTCACAACAAAGAACAGCTAAACTTTGTAGCAAACAACTACCACTTCTGATCCTAAATCCTAGGCAGAGACGTGTGCGTGGAAGGAAATGTTTTGGTGATTCAGGAGCTCCATCCACATATGTACAAACTTGAAGCCAAGACTTCCTGTTGATCACAACTGACCTAGTTATCACAGCAAAGCTGGCGTTTCTCCCTCACTGCAGCAGACGGAGTCAACCGAAGTTCGACGCCAACAACAGTCATGCGAGCAATTTGTGAGTTACACCAAAATCCGTTGATGTCGCATACGGGAATCTGGGAGGCGACTCCATCGGGGGAGGTGACTCCATCGGGAGAGTTTTATCAGGTGACCGCGAGCCTGAAAGAGTGACTGGGTACGATCTGGTTGTTGGGGAAAGGGGGAGCGGGGAAGAACCAGCTTTGGTCTGTGCACAGCCGCATGTGTCCTCCGTGAGCCACCCTCTCCTCCACCCAATCCACTGCCGGCTTTGTGCTGTAACAGAATGAAGGTCGGTCAATCCGAAGTGTAACGGGATGAGGGCAGGTCAAGCATATTTGGGTTTCGCAGCCAGTAAAAATATGTCGTCTCACACACGAAATTGTCCGCAAATGTCGCGCGAATGATCAAGATTCGCTGCTGGTTCCAAGCGGAACCAACGCAACGACAGATGTTCTGGAACTGCGATTGACTGCCAAGCCGAGTCGCAGGTGTGACCCCAATTGTTGGTTATGTATGGGAACCTTCGAAAGAGACCCTCGTCAGCTTGCACCAGCAACCTACAGTACAGTACTTGCTTTCCCAGCGGTTGGACCAGCTTGGACTGAGCAATTGGGGTCAGTGATAATTCAAGTTGCCCATTACACTTCGCCTATGCTTAGGGGGTTCAAGTGTTAGTACAGTAAGTGGAGCTTCTGCGAATAGCGAAATTGCACAAAAGTGCACCGTCGCTGCGTGTTTGTGATTACATGCAAGAAAAACCACTTCTCCAACAAGCAGCAGCCTTGCTCTATTCACTCTGAAGTCCCTTTGCAGTCAATCAATCGCGTTTCGTGCAGAATTCCGTGGCGCACAAATTCATAAAGTCCTTTTCTGGCTGGGGCCCTAATTCTAGAGAGTATCTGAGAGGCCAGGAACGTCTGAGCAACACTTACCAAGCTCTGGTGGCCGAAAACTGTGTTTACCTTTTCCCACTAAAATGGCTGTATTGATTGACTAAAATGGCTGTATTGGCAGTTCAGCGTGCGACTGAGCAAGAGAAGCAAGAGAAGCGAATTTTTAAAACAACCTTCCAATTTCATTTACAAAATGTTCAAAAGTAATCACTGAGCCATCAATCTAGTCCAAAATCAACTCATCAAAGTCATTGCATCGAGAGCTTGGGGGAAGCAGAAGCACGGGGCGAGGAATAAACATGGTCGACAGTGTCTGGTGTTTATGTGTTCGAAATCATGGCAGGAAAGAGTTGTAAATTATCCTTGTCCTTCACTTTCAACCATCCTTTGCCGAGAGACTTTACTTGTCCACCTGGTTGAGCTTTCCCAAACCCTTGCATCGCGGGCACACAATCCGGTTGTCGTCCTTCCGCGCAGCATTAGCTCTCAGCACACGTGAGTTCCGGATGAAACCAGCTCCATCGCATTCTGGACAGAGATCCTTTCGCGAGAACAGGATGGGGAAGGCGGTACCGATAAACGTGATGGCAACGGCTCCAGCAATAAGGTAAGTCGTTGCATCTCCTGATACGTCACCAACGGCACACACCACGCGAGACCTTGACCGAGCGCCTTCCGTCGCCTTCACGAATGACGCCATCCGAGTCTTCCTGGAGACTATCCGGAGAGGCCCTAGTCCAGCACATGCTGGAAGAGGCCTCACCTGAACAATTGCTGAAGACCTCGCAAGGGAAGCTGACGGATGGGCGAGGGTAGCCATGCAGGTGGCAGCCATTGCTGAGGGATTAGCAAGCGTAGAATCAAGACACAAAGAAGAAAGCAACGCAAGCTTGGCTGAACCTGAAGGCCCGTGTCTAGAAATGCGATAATTATAAAAGACGGACCAGGGACTATTTATATTCGGCAGGCTGGGATATTCAAGAAACGGAGTTCTCAAGAAGTTCGTGTCTGCTGAATGGAGGAAGGCGGAGCCGATACTTCTGAGTTGATGTTGAATGGAGCAGAGTCAGCATTGGGTTCGACGAAGGCCTGCTTCAGCCCACGTCGATGTGGATCGAAGAAGTCTGACATGGACGTGTATCAGCCAATGATAACATGGTGGTGGTTTTGGGGCTCTCGTGGCCTACGTCAATGTCACCAAGTGCTGATGATGCCACATTGTGCCAACTCATAAAATCGCAATTCCACGCTGGTTTACGTCCCAGCTGGGTCGAAACCCTGTGTTCGCGTGGCTGGCCCATCTTCATTCGTCTCATCACGTGTCCTCGTTGTCAAGATTTCCATAATAAAAGGACGCGCTATGGGCTTCAAATAGATCATCCCAGGCACTACATTCCTCAACACACATTGAGGTATTCAAGGAACAGAGACAGCTAACCCAATTCCGCATTAGATTCCTTCCAAAACCCACATTCAATCCAATGCAAGACCATGATTGCTAAGGAGTGTCCGAAACCTGTTCGAATCAATCCCAAAGAAAGTATTCAGCGCCAGCCCCTTACCTCTAGAAGCCATATCAACACCACCCGTCATCTCACACTTGACCTTACCATCCGCCGACTCAACAATAGACCACCCAGCCTTTCTAAGTACCGCCTCTCTCGGCCTCAACCTGCCTTCAAGGCTAAGCGTCACCAGGTACGGCACCGAACCTATAACTCCGGCAGACAGACCAAGATTTTTCTGCAAAAAGTCCAGCTTAGGCTGTATGCGGCTCTCCCAGTTAGCGCTCAGCAGCAGCGGATACCGCCGAACCATATCCGCAGCATCATATTCGCCTGCTAAGAATGAGTCCCACCGACGGAAATTTTCACGTATTGACTCCTCCGGGGCTTCTAACACCTTGGGGTATTTCAGAAGAACTTCTCGGGCGGAACTTACCCCGAGAAAGTCGACGAGTGCTTTAAACCTCCCTCGCAGGGTTTCAGCAGAAGAGTTATCCACTTTCCGGAGAAACTTGGCTAAAACCATCCGGGGTAGTTCACAGTCAAAAAACTCCTGAAACAGCCCTTCCCTGGACGTAAGCTCTCGCGTCGAGATTGCCAGGAGGGTCGTGTTACGCGTTACGATGTTATGAGCATGATGATTTCCCACCAGCTCCTTCAAATAATCCGCTTTCCCCGTGAGAGTTGCTGGACGAGCATTCATCACTCGTGAATCCCTTCTCATGGTTCGGACAACGTCCGTAATGCCAATCTCCTTAAGCATCCCAATCTTCCTGTCCTGAAATTTCTTCGAGTCGGTCGCAAACATCGAAGGATTTCGCCGCAGCAGCTTCCCTAGGAGCTCCCCATCCGTGACCCCCAAATCCCGCAGAAATTGCACAACCTCTTCTATGCCCTCTGCAGACAAGGCGCCGAGCCACCGGGGGTGAATGAGGGTCGCATGGGCGAGATCGCAGGTCTCGACTCCATAACCGCGTAACACTGCGATGCCCGGCAGGATTCGTTCTTTTACGCTTACTTTTGCGAGTCCGGGACGCAGTATGAGTACTCGGACCATCTGCTGCTCGTCCATGCCCCATGACTCCAAGAGCGAGCGCAGATCAGCAGGAATTGCAGAAACGCCGCTTGTTTTTTCGCTTCTTTTCTTCGGCCTTGATTTGGGTGCCTGACTTTCCTTCGCTGGTTCTGCCCCAGCTGGTTCTACCCCTTCTAATTCTAGCCCTGCTGCTTCTACCCCTGCTTCTTCTACCCGTGCTGCTGTCGGCTCTGTTCCTAGTGCGACTGGTTGTGCCGCTGCTCCTTCTACCCCTGCTGCATCTGCCTCTTCTATTTTCACCGCTGCTGGTTGTGCCGGCGTTGCTTCTGCTCCCGGCAGCGGTGCAGCTTCAGATTCTGCTCCAATTGCAGCTGCTGCTGATGATACTGCTGCTGCTGCTGCTGCTGCTGTTAATGCTGCTGCTCCTGCTGATGCTGCTGCTGCTGCTGCTGCTGCTGCTGCTTCAACTCCTGCTGCTGCTGCTGCTCCTCCTGCTGCTGCTTCAGTTCCTGCTGCTGATTCAACCCTTGCCGCTTCACCCTCACTGCTGCGGGCTGAAACCCGTCTCCGTTTCGATCCCTTCACCCGCGGTTGCTCTTCCTCTGCTACTGCAACCCCCACCCCTTCCGCTGCCACTCCATCACTCCTGCTACCATTCTCCCCGCTGCCATTACCCAAAGCTCTCTTCCGTTTTGCCTTCTTCTCCTGCTTCGACCCGCTCACTCGCGGCTGCTCCCCTGCTGCTGCAACCCCAACCCCTTCTGCTGCCGCTGCACCATTCCCGATGCTGCTGGTCTCCTCGTTGCTGTTATTCCCTCTCTTCCGTTTTGCCTTCTCCCGCTTCGAACCTTTCTCTTGCTCTGATTCCCTTTTTTTTCCTTTCACCTGAGACCCTTCCTCTGCTGCTGCCGCCTCAGTAGCACCTGCTAACGATGCACCATGCTCCTGAGAAAGTTCCTCTGCAAACTCAGCACCTGTCTCTTCCTCCTTCACCCCATCACTCGCAGCTCGTTCCCGCTTCGACTTCTTCTTTTTCTTCTTCTTTCCCACACCTGATTGCTCTGCTTCTGTTGCTGCATTATCACCTGCAACAGCCTCACTGGCAGCCCCATCATCAGTCCGTTTCCGTTTTGACTTCTTCTTTTCCGTCTTCTCTTCCTTCGTCCCATGTGCTTGCAACGCTTCTGCTGAAACACCAGCGCCTGTCACTGCCTCACTAACAGCCCCGTTATCCACAGCTCCATTTAGCTTCGACTTCTTCTTTTTCTTCCTCTCCACACGTGATTCCTCCGCTTCTGCTGCAGTGATATCACCTGCATCTGCCTCGTTGGATGCCTCCTTCGCCCCCTCACGCACTGCCAGTTTCTGCTTCTTTTTCTTTTTCGTTTTCTCAGGTAATTGCTCTGCTTCTGCTGCAACCGTAACACCCGCAGCTGCCTCATTGGCAACCCCATCACACACAGCTCGTTTCCGCTTTTCCTTTTTTTTCTTCTTCTTCTTCCCAGGTGATTGCTCCACTTCTGCTGCAACCGTAACATCTGCAGCTGCCTCATTGGCAGTCCCATCACGCACAGCTCCTTTCCGCTTCGTCTTCTTCTCTTTCTCCTTTCCGAGTGATTGCCCCGCCTCTGCTGCAGTCTCAACACCTGTCAACGCCTCGTCCCCGCCGCTGCTAACGTCCACGTCGCCACTCACGGATTGCTTCCGCTTTGACCCCTTTTTCGCCCGCTTAGACCCCTCAGATCGACACTCAGCCTCCGCTGCTACATCCTCACCACCCACTGCTGCATCCCTGACACCAGCTGCTGCATTCTTACCACCTGTCGTTGCCTCCTCCATCCCTTTGCTACTCAATTCCTTCTTCCGTTCAGATTCCGGTTCCCGTTTTGACTTCTTCTCCAGCTTTGACCCTTTTTTCCGCTTTGGCTGCTCCTCTGCTGCTGCAGCCTCAGCGAAATCCGCCGACTCATCCGCGTCCCCGAACACAGCAGCTCCCTTTTGCTTTGAATCCTTCTCCCGCTTTGATTTCTTCTCCCGCTTTGACAACTTTTTCTGCTTTGGCTGCTCCTCTGCTGCTGCAGCCACAGAGAATTCCGCCAATTCGTTCTCATCACCGACCACCGCTGTTCCCTTACGCTTTGACTCCTTCTTCCGCCTCAACCCCTTTTCTCGCTTTGACCCCTTCTCCCCCTCATCTCGTGAGGGTTTCACTGATTCTGTAGTCGTAACGCCCACCATTTTGTTAAGTATCTCTCTCGTTCAACGCAGCTTCGACCCCTTCGTCTTTGTTAAACCCTTCTCCTGCGATGACGAGCTGTCAGGTCCCGCTGCCGTTGCTCCAGGCACGTCCGTATCCCGACGCTTATGCTGCTTCACGGCTAATCGGCAAACCTTTTGGTCAAGTCAGTAGCCACTTTCTGCAGCTTCTTGGTACAATCAAGACACCGTGTTATCGTACGGTTCGCGGAAATTACAGTGATTTCGAATCGAGGTGACAGCTCGGTATAGGAATTGGCGGGTGGATGACTGACGGAACTGGAAAGAGTCGCGGACAGAGAGAGTCCCTCGGACGATTATTGCGTCGTCTCGAATAGCGCGTGTAGGGAGTCCGCTCTCTAGGCGGCTCTTATACCCGCGTACTTATTTGCGAAGGGCATTGCTCTAAACACCTAATCGAGATGAGTAGAGAAACGCAGAGGAGGTATTGACCTCTCGAGCTTGCGAAATTGACAAATGAACGAGAAAATAGGAGGCCACGAATTTTTGGAAACTAAGTTGCTCGCGATCCTAAGGACGCGGTAAAAGTGCTCGATCGGGGGGAGATCGATCCGGTCACCGCACTGAAACCCCGCGTGCATACAAAAGGTACACAACCGTTTATAACCGCGTTAAAAAACGATCCTGAGGCGATCGATTCTCCACTTTTACTGCGTCCTAAGAGAAGGGGGGGAAGCCTTGTGAAAACCGAATCGGAGTTGGCCAGCTTGAAAATGAAGTCTCGAGGAGGATGGACTTGGCAAAACGTTTTTGACCGTTAGGGCGTGTGGAGATAACCGTTAGGACGTGTGTGCATTAATTCTAGGTTCAAGAAACAGGTCGAACTTTGTCTGGTTACCAGCTTCGCTTATTTCGCGAAAATGTGTGACGAAAGACTCTCCCTTTTAACATATGGCAAATGCGACCTAACTTTTCCGAACTCGACTCGAGTCAATGCATAAACGCGGGCGCGTACAGTGAACCGAACGTGTGTTGTTTTGCGCAAGTACGACGAGTGGCGAGTTTCGCGAGACCTTTGCGACACAATAAAACCCACGCCGAAAACCACAGTCAGTATGTTGACGTGGCGCGATGTCTACGGAATTAGACCTGGTAACCTACATCCCCTACGAGCGGCTCGGCGCACCCCCTATAAGGTCGAATATTAAAATTCGACCTCGGGTCTGCGATTTGACTACCTGAAAATGTTATGCGTGGTTCAAACTTCCACGTTCAGCGGAAGTCGAACACTGGTCGGCTCAAGTTTCAATGCTACATTCGCCAAAAAAAAAAAAAAAAAAAAAAAAAAAAAAAAAAAAAAAAAAAAAAAAAACTTAGCCAATTTCCAAAATCACACACGCCCTTATATCCGTGATGAAGTGGAGGATGGATGATGGTATGTTGAGCCAGGGAGGATCGTTCGCGTTTGTTGCACTAGACATCACCTCGTATAAGTGCAGAAGTTCCACTTAAATCAGGTATATCTTCAACACATATAAATGAACTCATATTCCGATATAGCTACTGCAAACAGGGCCCAAAATATAAGGGTAAAATGCCCTGACTACCCTGGGGGCCGGCCGCTTTTTCAGAGTTACCCTGTCAAAATCAGGATTCCGTAATTTTTGCCCTTAGCAAAAAGAGTTGGTTTTTTTTACACTGATAGGAATTATGGTTAGCCTGGCGGTATCAGGGTTGTATGTAGACTTCCCTGGTACTGAAACTTTTTTTGCGCGGATCAGCCCATACTTCGCGTGCTGACAAACTGAACCACGCTTCGCGATTGAATGTCGCGCCAGCAGGTTCCCCCTTTTCGCATCAGCCTTTGACCGTCAGATCTACACCGGCTCAATCAACGGCCCACCTTCCAGCTTCTCTTTCATTTTAGGCCAGTTCATCCGCGTCCGTCAGATAGACTCACTTCATCAACGGCCGAAATTCCAACCTCACTTCGATTTGGTCAAGGCCATCTGCATCCGTCAGATGAAGAGCAACCTTCTTCGACGATCAACATTCCAACCATTTCAGTTCAATTTTGCCAGCTGATCAAAGTTGCGCGTCAATGACAGTTTTGTGCTGTCATATGCATCAGGGTACGACATTTTTTACCCTGCTGCCAGCAGGGTAGTACGATTTTTTTTACCCTACCAAATTGTCAGGGTGGGCCTGAACCAATTTTGGGCCCTGACTGCAAATTTGTGAGCTTTCAAAAATACTTATCTTACAGCAGATGGCTTGATGTTACGAGTGCAATTGAGCGAACGAGCGAGAATTGCACTATCGAAGCAAACAATACAATGAGCGAAGGCATGAACGAAGGATATATAGCGAAGCTAGCGTGGTAACGGTAATGCGAGAGAATGGGGTGCGCTACGGGCATAGCCCGGGAAATGTCGAGGCGGAGGTCCGGAGCGCGGGTTACCAACCGAACCGTAAGGTTGGGTCGCATCGTGAACAGTGGCGGGAGTCGTGGTCGAGGCGAGTGTCGCGAGCGGGTAACGCTTCAGTGTTGGGTGCTGATGGCGGGAATGGTCATGTACGCGGTAAGCAGGGGCGCGAAGTAAGGAAAAATGAATTTTCCTTACACTACCCCCCTCCCCAAGGAGGCCCTCCTTACGAGAGCGCGTGTACATTTCGAAAGTTTCGGCTGCCCAGATACTCAGTGAGGACAGGGTGGTTCTCAATCCTATACAGGGGAACCCAATTGTCTTCGGTGGGTGTGCGGTCTTTCCAGCGGATCAGAAATTCGATCCTGCGGGCTCCCCGTGGGTCACGTACTCGGTGGCTCAGTATTTTTTCGGGCGTGATGATTAGCTCTGTCGGCGGTCGTGTCATGCTGGTGGGGCGGTTGCGATGCAGTTGGCTGGTGGATGGCACGTATGGGCGAAGTAGACGTGGAATGACGGGCTGACCTACCAGACAACAGGGAGGAGGAGGTGGGCGGTGACGGGTGTGATCATGTGGCTGATGCGAAATGACCCGCAATATCGGGGGCAGAGTTTTGGGGTGATGGGCAGGCGGAGGTTTTGAGTGTCAAGTAGCACGAGGTCGTCGTGCTGGTAAGTGACGGGTCGGCGGTGGCGGTCGGCGTTACGCTTAGCGATGATGTTCGATTTTTTTATTGCGTCTGGTGCTCGGGTCCGTGCTGCTTGTAAATTCTCTACGAACTGTTGCGCGCGTGGCACCGGATTGTCGGGATTTGGAGTCATGGGTACTGTGGGGTCTTGTCCGTAGTTCAAGTAAAACGGTTACTGTTGGGTCGTGACGGATGGCGAGTTCTTGTATGCGAACTCGATGAGTAGCAGTTGCTGTTCCCAGGTGGTCGAGTCGTCGCACGTGGCTCGGATGAGTTGCTCCATGGTCTGGTTTGTCCGTTCTGTCTGTCCGTCGGTCTCGGGGTGGTACGAAGAACTGAACTGTAGTTTCATGCCGAACTGCTGCCACAGGTTTGTTAAGATAGGAGCTTAGGCTAAGAAGCCATAGCTAGGTTTTAGGTTATATGAAAGAGAAATAGGAGAAGAAGGAGAGGGTTTCACTAGCAGCAATGAGGATACATATAGCAAACCCTAGATGGGTTGTACTCGCTATAGAGCACCCCACTACAGGCTAGAGAATAACATTCTGACACACCCCCATAGCCAAAGTGGGGTGTAATCAGCACAGCAAGAAAAGCAAAAACAAGCTCAGGGTGGATCACAATGTCACCACACATTCTGAGCACAAGTACAAGCAGCAGCAGTTTATAGTTCACAAATATAAGCAAAGCTAGAGCTAATCACAGAGGGCAAGTGAGGAGGAGGAGAGACTGTGGAGGGAGAGAAGATGGGAGGCAACGACTGAAGCTGCAGAGGCACGGGCACAGGAGCGGCTGACTCAGAGGCTACCGAAGCAAGGGCGACGGACTACTGGAGTGACTGGCTCCGCGACTATAGACGAGCGGCAGGAGCAACGGACCCACTGGCGACTGGTGCAACAGGCTCACTGGCTACCGAAGCAAGGGCGACGGACTACAGGCGCTGCAGGCGACAAGACAGCTACCTTCACACAACCTCCTCCAACTGCCCCACTCCCCTCTCACACACCCCCTGTTCAAACCCTAGCTCCACTCCCACAGCACCCCCCTTAAACCCTAAACCCTAGGCTCCCACACACCCACCCCCCTCAGCGACAGCTGCAGCAGTGGGAGACAAGGGAGGAGGAGGAGCAAGGGGAGGAACACATAACCGCCACCCCCACACCCGCCACCCCCATGCTCTGCACCCCACACCCCCAGCACCACGGAATGCACGGGGGGGGGGGGGGGGGGGGGGGGGGGGTAGGGCCGCGACGAAGAAAGAAGGGGCCGAGGCGCGGCCCTGCCCCCGGGCGCCAGAGCAGGCGGCATAAGGGGCGACGCGCGGGCCCCCCCAAGTGCGGCCCCCCAGGGCGTCGCGACGGGCGACGGGAAAAGGGCCAGGGCGGGGCCGCGACGGGGCCGAGACGAGGCCGCGACAGGCGTCGGGGTAGGGCCGGGGCGGGGCCGCGACGGGGCCGCAACGGGGCCGCGACAAAGTCGCGGCGGGCGACGGGGCAGGGCTGGGGCGGCGCCGCGACAGGGCCGCGACGGGGCGGCGTCGGGCGACGGGGCAGGGCCGCGACGGGAGGGCGCGACGTGGGGCCGCGACGGGGGGGCGCGACGGGGGGCCGCGACGAGAGGGCGCGACGGGGGGCCGCGACGGGGGGCCGCGACGGGGGGTCGCGACGGGGGGGGGGGGCGCGACGTGGGGCCGCGACGTGGGGCCGCGACAGAGCCGCGGCGGGCGACGGGGCAGGGCCGGGGCGAGGCACCGCCGCGCGCCACGGGGCGCCCGACGGTCAGAAAACCGCCGCGCGGGCCGCGCGCCATAGGCGCGCGGCAGGCAGGCGCGCGCTCGAGGCGCGCGTTAGGCAGAGTAGTAGCAGCGGAAGCAGGTGGGCTCACAGGCCAAGAGCGTAACAGCTCTGATTCCATGTTAAGATAGGAGCTTAGGCTAAGAAGCCATAGCTAGGTTTTAGGTTATATGAAAGAGAAATAGGAGAAGAAGGAGAGGGTTTCACTAGCAGCAATGAGGATACATATAGCAAACCCTAGATGGGTTGTACTCGCTATAGAGCACCCCACTACAGGCTAGAGAATAACATTCTGACAAGGTTCCGCCAGAAGTTGCTTGTAAATTTCGTATCGCAATCGCTGATGATTGATGCTGGTATCCCGTGCAGTTGAACGACGATGTAGATGAAGAGGCGGGCTATTTCTTCGACTGTGTTCGTTTTCTTGCAGGCTGCGAAATGTGCCATTTTCGTCAGCCGATCGACGACGACGAGGATCGCGTCATTCCCACTTGCTTCAGCCGGTAACCCCGTGACGAAGTCCATCGTCACCTACTGCCAAGCACGCTCTGGGGGTGGTATCGGCTGCAATTATACTGCCGGCCGCTTCCGTGATGGCTTCATGAGTTGGCAGGTGGGACACGATGCCACGCGTCGTTGCACGTCGGTCAGCATTTCGGGCCAGTAGTAATACCGCTGCAGCTGCTGTCGTGTTTTTTCTACTCCGAAATGTCCAGAGGTAACCCCGTCGTGTGCCTCCTGTAGTAACAGCTCCCTTAGTAAAGTGTAGCCCGGTACCCAGATGCGGTCGCTGCCGGCCATTACGTAATAAACCCCCTTTGCTATTGCGAACTGCTGCGAATTTCCACCCGTGAAGAACGGGTCGGTTTGATAGCCGTGGGTAAATAGTCCTGTTGGTAGCGGGCTTGCCTGGGCGAATAGTATGGCGTGGATTTGGGCTGTGGGGCGGGTCATTGCGTCGTCAATGTTCGATTCCCCTTTTTTGTAGGTGACTGTGTAGTGGAAGTTTTACTCGAGGAAATCGAGCCAGCGGATCTGTCGTGGGTTGAGGTGCTGTGCGCGTAGGTACTGTAGTGATTTGTGGCCTGTCCGTATTGTCACGTCTGCGCCGATCAAGTAACAGCGCCACACTTTGAACGCATGCACGATCGCGAGCATTTCGCGGTCGTGTATCGGGTAATTCTTCTCGGGCGGATGCAGTTTTCGTGACTCGTATGCGATGGGCTGTAAACCGTTGTTGAAATCCTGTAGCAGTACGGCTCCAATGGCGATGTCGCTTGCGTCTGTAACCACTTCGAATGGGCGGTGTGGGTCGGCGATGCGCAGTACGGGCGGTGAACAGATAACATTTTTGGCGCACTGCTATCAAACCGACCCACGGTAACCTAGTTATAAATGTTGTTTTGGCGCAGTCCGATGGTTCGACTCGAATCTGGTGGTAACCTCCCCGTAAATCTATCTTTGAAAAGACCTGTGCTGTTCGCAGTTGATCTATCAGTTCGTCGGCGCGGGGAACGGGATATCGTGACTTGATTGTTACCCTGTTCAGTGCTCTGTAGTCAATGCACATGCGAAAACCTCCGTCTTTCTTCGGTGTGAACCGTATCGGTGCGGCGAACGGCGATGAGCTCAGTCGAATGAGCCTTTTCTCTAACAGGTAATCTAGCCGCTTCCTCAGTTCATCGAGCTCGGGCTGTGTCAGACAAAACTATCGCTGTACAATTGGCTGTCCCCCCGGTTCTAACTCTATTCAGTGATCGTGTGCCCGCTGAGGTGGCAGTCCCTCTAGTAAATCGTCCGGAAATATCCCCGGGTACCGTTTCAACCGTTCCTGGAGTTCGGGTGGTACCACTGCCAGCAGTTTCTGAAAATCACTCGGCTGCTCTGCTTCTCCTACCAATGCTATATCCACCGCGTACACGTCAGCTCCAGCGGCGACAGCCCGTTTCATCGTGATGGCGTTGACATGGACCGTTGAAGACTCGGGCGACTACCAGCGAGGTAGCTCGACCCAGTTACTGCTACTTCGCACAGTGCAGCTACCCGTCGTCCAGTCGATTCGTGGGTTGTACCGTCGCAGCCAGTCACGTCCCAGTAAAATGTCGTGCCCATCCAATGTCGTCGTGAGCATTTCCTGTGTAAACCCGAAGTTCCCCCCGCAGCGGACTTTTACTCTCTCCACCTTCTCCCGTATGGCCAGCGGCATGCCGTAGACTAAGCGTGTATCTACCTCCGGTAATCACCGACGAAGTGTCAGTTGCAGCGTCCGTGCGGTTGCGGTATTAACTAAGCTGTGACTTGCTCCTCCGTCTATGAAAATCTTCACTGCTGCTCCTTGTATTTTCCCGTTAATCAGTACTGGGCAATCCGTCGCTGTACCCACTTTATTCATCCGAGCCCAATCGATAGCGTGAATCGGTACTGTGACTCGGTGAGGGTCAATGAGGTTGGGTGAGCAGGTTGTCTCGTCAGTAGTTGGCCCGTTTTCTACTGACTGCTGGCGTTTCCCTGCCCTCTGAGACTCCCTCCCCTGCTCTGCTCCGCGGCGTCTCTGCTCCTCTGGGCATTCGCTCTTGCGATGGCTCGGCCTATTGCAAGCAAAGCAGCGCCCCTTGAATGGCGCAGCGGCTGCATTTGCTGTGACAGCGTGTACGGTGGCGTGCTCGGTCGGTCCCCGAGGGCGATATCCGTAGTAGGACACCGGTCTCGGACGGCGCAAAATGTCGATTTTCTCGGTGAGCGCGAGGATCTCGTTGAAAATCGAGAGCCCGCGTAGCATGATTTCGTGCGAGATGTCCGGCTTCAGCCCTTCGACGTAACGGTCCACCCGCTCCTCTTCGTGCATGTAGCCAACTTGCTCGCATAATGCGAGAAAACCGCTGGTGTAGTCTTGGACCGACCCAAGATGTTGCCAAGTACGCAGTTTCTGACGCGCCGAAATAGAAGCCGCGATCGGCTCGAAGCGGGCCCGAAGCCCTGCGCACCACGCATCCCACGTGCTGTACTGGGCGGTTTCGCATAACAAACTCCAGGTGACGGGTGGACCCGCGGGCTCTTCCTCTTGCGACGTCGGCTCGTAGGCGCGTGGCGATGTCACGATGACTCGCCACCAGTCCATGGCGGGGCCCCTTAGCAACGAAACAGCGTATCGGATCTTCGCTGCGTCTGACTCGACGTATTTCGCGAAGACCCACGATTGAACCGTCAGACCTCCTCGTTGGCTCGGGTCGAAGCAGGGCGGGCGCTGCGGTTTGACCGGCATCGGCACGACAATGTAGTTGTTGCCGATTTTTTCCGCATATTCAACATGACGACGGGCTTCGCGAGGCCCGCTCGTGCTTGGTACAGCCCTGTTCCTCCCCATGCCAGGCATTGATTGGGCGGCGCCATCACTGGCTGCGCCTGAGCGCTGTCCCATACTGTCGTGATGTGACGGTGTGCCGGACGAGATGACAATCGGCTCATCCGATTGCGCATGTGCATTTGCAGGTGCTTGTATTGGTGCTGGTGCATTCACCGTCGATTGCTGGCGAGCGGAGTCGCGTTCCGCTGTGAGTGTCGCAATTTCGAGCGCCGAATCTTCGAGTTGGCGCACGAGACGGTCGAGCTGCTCGTACGTTAGTGTCGCGAGATTAATTCAGGCCATGGCGGGGGTGTCGGGCAAGCTCAGCGAGAGCCTCTGTCGTGGCCGTGCGTGCTTACGAGAGAGCACTTCGAACGGCGGTGCTTGTTCGCTGAGAGACGTCTACCCCCCCCGAAAATTGAGAGAGTGGGGAAGCGAGGGTGTGGGTGCGGTCCGAGAGGAGATCGTAGGCTCTGAATACTAAGTGTTACGAGTGCAATTGAGCGAACGAGCGAGAATTGCACTATCGAAGCAAACAATACAATGAGCGAAGGCATGAGCGAAAGATATATAGCGAAGCTAGCGTGGTAACGGTAAGGCGAGAAAATGGGGTGCGCTACGGGCCTAGCGCCGAGGTTGGGAAATGTCAAGGCGGAGGTCCGGAACGCGGGTTACCAACCGAACCGTGAGGTTGGGTCACATCGTGAACAGTGGCGGGAGTCGTGGTCGAGGCGAGTGTCGCGAGCGGGTAACGTTTCACTGTTGGGTGCTGATGGCGGGAATGGTCATGTACGCGGCAAGCAGGGGCGCGAAGTAAGGAAAATGAATTTTCCTTACACTTGACCTAAATGCTTCCTGGAAACGGAGCAAGGTCTTGCAGACCATCTAGGAAGACTGATGGCTCCTGTGAGTGCATCTTTTCGGCATACGATCTGCGTTGTTGTGCGCCACTCAAGTACCTGAAGCACAATATCGTGCACAAACATTGTAGTGAGACAAAATTAGCAAAATAGAGAATGATAACAAAACATGCTTACACATAACAGTACAAAAGCAACGTACAGCCGATCTTGAGCGCGGGTCATTGCCACGTAGCACAGTCGCCGCTCCTCCTCATTAAAGAAAAACTCCTTTTCCTCTTTCCTTCCATGCTCCAAGTCCCCTGATTGCACCCTACCGTCTCGCTTCCACTGCTGCTGCTGCTGCTGCTGTTGATTATGCTGACAACCTTTATGTTGTTGATTCTGATGATGATGATGGTTGTGATGCCTACTCCCCTTTCCTATAGTAACCCTCTCCCAACCCGGCCTCTCCTCAGACCCCTTCCACTGAGCCTTCTCCTTATAGTTTTTCGGAGCCAGCGGCAGGATTCGATTCTCCAAGCCTGTCAGGAACACCACTGGGAACTCCAGCCCCTTGGCCTTGTGGATCGTCATCAGCCGTACTGCATTGGCGGACAGCTGTGCCTCCTTGCCCTGCCATGAGGAGGGGGAACAGGGGAAGGGGAGAAAATTTTGGAATAGAGGGGGGTGGGGGAAGGGGGGAAGGAGGGAAGGGAAGAAGTGGGGAAGGGTATGAGGCAGCTGAGCCTCCTTGCCACCATGGCCAAACAGGATGAATAAGAAGCAACTATTGAGAATGAATAGAAGAGTAATACAGGATGAAGGCTTTCTTCTTGTGCATGACAAAACAAGAGACTCGTAATGAGGACTCACCCCATACTCGTTATTGACTCACTTCAGACTCGTGAATCTCCCCTGAAAGTAGTGCAATCTGCTCCAGAAAGTTCCGCACTCCCTCCATACCAACCCCACAGGTCGGGCCGAACCTGTTCGCTAGGTCCTGCAGTGTCAGCATTCGGTTCGGGAAGGTCGAAGGAAGGATTTACAAATTTTGATTACAACGTGATTCATAAGTGGCATTTTCACTCACACTTGAAGCTGAAACAAAACTATAACAATCATCTGCACGTAATCGCATGCACTAGCTCTGTTTTCTTCAGAAATCGCTTGCCTGCCTCCTCACTCTTCCTCCTTCCCTCTCCTCAGAAAGCAGGGTCGGAAAATTGACTCCTTCCCTTACTGCCATAACTCCTCTAAGCTCCTCTCAACCGCACTGTTGCTACGCCAGCCACCCCCCCACCGCACCCACCTGCAGTCGTTCCATCTGATCAAGAGCCCATTCCCCTCTTCCTCATGCCTTTGAAGAGAAACAGCCAACCCCCCACCCACCCACCCACCCACCACACCCACCATTCCCACCCCCTCACCCCACCCACCTGCAGTCGTTCCATCTGATCAAGAGCTCTCTTTCCCTCCTCCTCATGCCTCTGCCTCAACTCAAAGCAGCAGGGTTGGGAAACTGGCCCCACCCACCCACCACATTCACCCCCACATCCCTCCCACCTGCACTCGTTCCATCTGATCAAGAGCTCTCTTCCCCTCCTCCTCATGCCGCTGCCTCAACGCAGCAGGGTTGGGGGACCGGCTCTTTGCTGATGCTGCCGCTGCAGCTGCCGGGCTGTACTCCTGCTTCAACTCGAGCCTGGACAGGAGGTATGGGAAGAGTTGCGGGAAGAGGTGCGGGGAAGAGGTGCCGAGAAGAGGTGCGGGGAAGAGGTGCCGAGAATAGGTGCGGGGAAGAGGTGTAGGGAAGAGGAATGGACAAGAGGGATATTGAGCGGACAAGCAACAAAGGGCACAAGAAGGATTATTGATTCAACCCTTTTGCACATCTTTCAAAGACAAGTAAACCAACAGTTCAGGCTCACCCTCCCTCACCACCTCCTCCTTACTCACACATCCATTATAGTCCCCTCCCCAACAACCCTTCGAAATCAAGCAGCTCCGGATTTTATTCCACTCATTGAGACTGGTTTTTAGTCGACTCAAAACACCATTCACACCCATCCCCACCACCTCCTCCTTACTCACACGTCCACTATACTCCCCAGCAGCCCTCCGGCATGCGGCAGCGCTTCTACCCCACCCTTGCTCCCGCTTAGTCTCGAATCAGTAAGACTGGGACTTGAATTATCAAGACCCGAGTCATTGAGACTTGAGGCGCCCAGACTGGAGTTGGCGTCATCAACTGTGCCTACTGCACTGCGGAAGGAGAGGATGAGGTGTGCGAAGCTGAGAAGGCTCTCCCTGAGACACAACACAGGACGAGAAACAGAGGGAGGGGATGCTGGCGGGTGGACACACAGGTTCGTTCGGGCCTTCCCTCCTTCCACCCTCGCCCTCGTCAAGCCTTGAGGCACTCAGATCAGACTCGAGCCGGCGCCATCGACTGTGCCTACTGCTGCATGGCGGAAGGAGAGGATGAGGTGTGCGAAGCTGAGAAGGCTCTCCCTGAGACACGAGGAGAGACAGAAGGAGGGATGTGGGTGGATTTGAGAGATCCTTGGATTAAAGCACTTGTTGCTACATACTAAATGGTTGCTCCGGAGAAACAACAGGGTTAAGAAAGATGAAACAAGAGAATCAGGGGTGAAAAACAAACTTGTACGTGAAACAGAATAATAAGAAAAAATGCAGACGAAATGCACAAGAAAAAACAATGACCCAATGGGCTGTTATCTGACCTGGCCTTTTTGGAGATGGGAGGAGGGTTGTCTAAATGCTTGCCCAGTGCCAGTTCCTAAGTTATACATGTGACGTGAAGTGGGAGCAACGCTGACAGAGCGAGCAATCATCAGCATCACCCAAAAAAGAGTAGTGTTTTGAGTCGACTCAAAACACTGTTAGAATATATTCGTAACTGCCTGTAGCTGTAGTTAGTGTAGTTATTATAAACTTGTTGGTGGTGTACCTCATTGCATGTTTGTCTTGCCTATGTGTACCTTCCGAACTATAGTGAAACCCTCTCAACTCCCATGGCCTAGGCTTCTAGCCTAGGCCCTTAACCTATCCTTTGCCTACTATCTTTCGACATGGTATTCAGAGCAGGAACCTTCCTGCTGCCTTCCTTAACGGGCCCACCATTTTGCTTCCGCTACAAGTCGTCCTGCCGCGCGCCTAGGGCGCGCGGCGATTTTCTGCCCGCCGTGTGCTCGGGGCGCACGGCGGTTTTCTGCCCGCCGTGCGCCCCGGGCGCGCGGCGTCTGCCTGCCTGCCTGCCTGCCTGCCTGCCCGTCGTGCGCCCCGTGATGCGCGACGGTGCCCTGAGCCGCCGCGGACCCGCCCCTGGCGCCCGCGACGGTGCCTTGAGCCGCCGCGGACCCGCCCCTGGCGCCCGCGACGGTGTCCTGAGCCGCCGCGGACCCGCCCCTGGCGCCCGCGACGGTGTCCTGAGCTGCCGCGGACCCGCCCCTGGCGCCCGCGACGGTGTCCTGAGCCGCCGCGGACCCGCCCCTGGCGCCCGCGACGGTGTCCTGAGCCGCCGCGGACCCGCCCCTGGCGCCCGCGACGGTGCCCTGGGCTGCTGCGGACCCGCCCCTGGCGCCCGCGACGGCGCCTCTTCATCACCAGCGCCTGCACTCGGTGCAGCCGCCCCTACCCTACCCGCGCCTGCCCTCGGTGCAGCCGCCCCTGCCCTTCCCTGTGCGCCACCCCTCTGTGGCTGTGGGGCGGCTTCTTCCCCGCCACCCCCCCCCCCCCCCCCCCCCCCCTCCTCCTTCTTCTTCCTGCTGCGCGTGCAGCCGTGGGGGGGAGGGTATGGAGGTGGAGGGTATGGGGGTGATGGTGGTATGGTCCCTTCCCCTCCTCCTCCTTTCGTTCCCACTGCTGCAGCTGCTGCTGGGGGGAGGGTGTGAGGGTGTGGGGGAGCCAGGGGAGTGGCATTGGGGTGGCGGGTTTGAGACATCCAGCCCCCGTCCCTCTGAGGGGGGGGGGGAGAGGAGAGTAAAGGGGTGGCAGGAGTGCCTGCCCCTTTGCTGCTGTACCTGCTTTGTTACCTTGCCTGCTGTTGCTGTTTTCTCTGTTCGTGGTGTACCCATCCAGGATGTGTCGCTGCACAGACTCCTGCTGCAGGCAGTTATGGGGGAGTGTTAGAATATATTCGTAACTGCCTGTAGCTGTAGTTAGTGTAGTTATTATAAACTTGTTGGTGGTGTACCTCATTGCATGTTTGTCTTGCCTATGTGTACCTTCCGAACTATAGTGAAACCCTCTCAACTCCCATGGCCTAGGCTTCTAGCCTAGGCCCTTAACCTATCCTTTGCCTACTATCTTTCGACAAACACGACTCATTTCACGAAGTGGGAGCACCGCTGACAGAGCGAGCAATCAACAGCATCGCCCAAAAAAGAACCTGGGCTGTTATCTGACCTGGCTTTTTTGGAAATGGCAGGAGGGTTGTCGGCATGCTTGCCCAATGCTAGTTCCTAGTCAATGTTAGATTGGAGGATGGGAGAGTGGAGAATGGAAAACAGATGGGGATTATTGACATGCTGGCGCGATTCTCGTTCCTACACAATGCATGTCACATGATGTGGGAGGGCGGAGGATGGGGAATGCAAGATGGGAGAAAGATGGGAGGAATTCATGTAAGCATGTGAATGGTGGCAAGAGGATGCATGAATGCAAGGGTACCAGGATTGCAGTGCCCACAGGCGAGTCGAGCCCTTGAGCCCACTGCTGCACTGCCGCCCATGACTTGGCTCCCAGGCCTGCATGGGCACAGGAAGACAAGGGAGGTGGTGGGGGGAAGAAGAGAGGGCGGGGAGCAGTGAAGAAGAAGGAGAGGTGCGGAGAGGTACAGAGGATAAACCAAAGAAGGTGGGAGAAAGGGAGAGTCGAGGCCTTGAGCCCACTGCTGCACTGTCGCCCATGACTTGGCTCCCAGGCCTGCATGGGCACAGGAAGAATCAGAATTGAATGCTTGGATGTGGAGCAAACTCATGCCGGCCTGGAAGCCCATGCAGGCCTGGAAGCCCATGCAGGCCTGGAAGCCCATGCAGGCCTGGAAGCCCATGCAGGCCTGGAAGCCCATGCAGGCCTGGAAGCCCATGCAGGCCTGGAAGCCCATGCAGGCCTGGAAGCCCATGCAGGCCTGGAAGCCCATGCAGGCCTGGAAGCCCATGCAGGCCTGGAAGCCCATGCAGGCCTGGAAGCCCATGCAGGCCTGGAAGCCCATGCAGGCCTGGAAGCCCATGCAGGCCTGGAAGCCCATGCAGGCCTGGAAGCCCATGCAGGCCTGGAAGCCCATGCAGGCCTGGAAGCCCATGCAGGCCTGGAAGCCCATGCAGGCCTGGAAGCCCATGCAGGCCTGGAAGCCCATGCAGGCCTGGAAGCCCATGCAGGCCTGGAAGCCCATGCAGGCCTGGAAGCCCATGCAGGCCTGGAAGCCCATTCATAACGGAAGGAACGGAAGGGCACAGGGAAGGAACGAGCAGAATGATGCTACGAGAGGAGTTGGCTCGAGATGATTGTTTGATGAGGGAAAGGAACCACTGGGAACACCTCTCATTTGTACATGCCCATACACGCCTGGACGGTGAACACCACATACCGATGGAGGGTAAACAATGAAATACCTCTGGAGGGTGTGTTGTAGATCCGACCCAGTGCAACACTGTCGGCTGGATTGGCCACCAATCTCATATATGCTATCAAGTCCTTTACCACCTGAGCAAAGAAGGGAGACGAGGGAGGAGGGTAGGGTAGGGAGGGGAGGGCAGGGAAGGGGGGGAGGGTAGGAGAGGGATAGGATGGGCAATCCAATGTTGCAGGGAAAGTTGAGAATTGTCAAAAAACCCTGGGCTGGATTGTCAATGGCTGGATTGGCCACCACTCTCATGTATGCTATGCGGTCTGTAACAACCACCTGCGGAGGGGCAGGAAGGGGGGAGGGAGGGAGGGGTGGGCAGGAGAGTGAGAGTGGGATGAGATGGGCAACCCATTGGCTGGATTGGCCACCACTCTCATGTATGCTATGAGGTCTCTAACCAACCACCTGAGGGCGGCAGGGAGGGGAGACAGGTAGGGCAGGGCAGGGAGGGGAGACAGGTAGGGCAGGGCAGGGAGGGGAGGGCAGGGCAGGGAGGGGAGGGCAGGGCAGGGAGGGGAGGGCAGGGCAGGGAGGGGAGGGCAGGGCAGGGAGGGCAGGGAGGGGAGGGGAGGGAGGGCAGGGCAGGGAGGGGAGGGCAGGGAGGGGAGGGCAGGGCAGGGAGGGGAGGGCAGGGCAGGGAGGGGAGGGCAGGGCAGGGAGGGGAGGGCAGGGCAGGGAGGGGAGGGCAGGGCAGGGAGGGGAGGGCAGGGCAGGGAGGGGAGGGCAGGGCAGGGAGGGCAGGGAGGGGAGGGGAGGGAGGGGAGACAGACGAGGATAGGGATGGGATGGGCAATCCAAAGGCTGGGTTGCAATTGCAAGGTCGATCCGCCCCTGCTGGAGGGTTGACCAGCCGAGCTGTCTCAGCCGAGCTAAGCTGGAATGCCTCTTAACAGTGCAATTTGAGGCACAAGAGAGCAGCAACCCCAAAAACCCACTTTCCTCTGGAACAGCGTGCTCCCTCCCACAACGATGCAGGGATTGCAAGGCTCGCCAGCCCCTGCTGGAGCGTTGTTTGGCTGACCTGCCTTGGCCTCCAGTAGCAAGGCAATCCGAGGCACATCAAAGCAGCAACCCACCTTCTTCTGGAACAGCGTGCTCCCTCCCACGACGATGCACGGAATGGCAAGATCCGCCAGCCCCTGCTGCAGCGATTCTCAACTGACCTGCCTTGGCATCCAGCAACAGTGCAATTAAGGCGCAGCACAGCAGCAGCAAGCAGCAGCAACCCACCTTGCGCTGGAACAGTGTGCTGCCACCCACGACGATGCATGGGATGGCGAGGTCCGCCAGCCCCTGCTGCAGCTGCACTGCCTGAGCGTGTGTGCGGTACAGCACACAAAAGTCCCTCCATGCATACCCCCCGCTCGCCCCTGCTCCCTCCCCTCCCAGTCCCCCCTCCCTCTCCCCTCCCAGTGCCCCTCCCCTCGCCCCTCCGCCCTCCCCTGCCCTCGCTCTTGCCGTTGGCCCTCCCCTTGCCTTTCCCCCAGCCCATCCCCTCCCCCCACTTCCTGCCCCTCCACTCTTCCCTCCCCCTCTTCCCCCCCTCGCCCAGGGGGATAGCTCAGCAGGATCGACTAAACTCTCTATCTCCTCAGCAATCGTTGCAGCTTCACTGGCGCATGAAGGGAAGAAGGAGAAGAACACCGGATGGCCTGGGGGCTGGGGAGAAGGGGTTAGATAGGAGAGGTCAGGGAAGAGGGATGGGAGGCGGAGAAGGGGTTTAGTGACGAAATATCATGATTCTCCACCTTTCCTTCCCAGTCCCTTCCTATTTCACCCCTTCTGCCTCCCCCTCCCCCCTTATGCCCCTCACTCACCTTGGTGGGTTTCAGCTCCAGGGTGCCTCCCCCAACGCACCTGTCCCTCGGCCCTCCCTAAATCACTCGCTTTAGCACCTTCTCCCTCTCACGCACTCGCCTCATCCCCAAACCACCCGCCCTCTTCCCCCTTCCTCCCCCTCACCCTGTGCCCCCTCCCCCTCTGCACCTTGGTGGGTTTCAGTTCCAGGGTGCCTCCCCCAACACGCCTATCCCTGGGTCCTCCCTGAATCACTCGATCTGGCACCAACTTCCTCTCACGCTCTCACCTCATTCCCAGACCACACATGGTTTTCTATTTCCTTCCTTCCCTCAGCCCCTCCCGAATCCCTCCCTCACCCCTCACTCCTCCCACCTTGGTTGGTTTCAGCTCCAGGGTGCCTCCCCCAACGCGCCTGTCCCTGGGCCCGCCCTGAATCACTCGGTTTGCTGCCTGCAGGATGCTTTGGGAAGAGCGGTAGTTGCTGCGAAGCTGCCAAGTGAGGGGAAGTATGGAGGGGTGTGTGGGGAATGTGGAGGGCGTGGGCGGGTTTCTGGGGGCGTGTGTGGGGAGGTGTGGGGTGGTGTGTTGGGTACAAGTGTGGGGGGGAGCGGTGTAAACCACAGCCCTGAATCACTCGGTTTGCTGCTCGCAGGATGCTTTAAGATGAGTGGTAGTTGCAGCGAAGCTGCCAAGTGTGGGGGACACGTGGGAAGGGGAGGAGGCGGAGGGGGAAAAGCTGGGAAGGGAGCGAAAAAGGGGAGGTTGTGGCATATGAGAACTCACAGACACTGATTGCAATGAGATAACGGGATAACAAGATCGCCAGCACACTCACTCACACAACCTCACCCACACTCCCTCACTCATACTCCCGCACTCACTCACTCACTCACACGCAGCTCACCTGTAGTGTGGTGACATCATCAAAGTCCTCATCTAAGAGCCGCTGCAGGTAGTGGTACTCTGCTCCCCTCCACGAGTAAATGCACTGCCATGCCATGCCATGCCATGCCATACGAGGAACGAAGGGAGGAAGAACGCAGGAGGAACCAGTACAAAGTGAGTAGTCGCTGCAGGTGGTGGTACTGTGCTCCCCTCCAGGAATAGATGCACTGCCATGCCATGTGCGCACATGCAACGACAGAGGAATGAATGGGTGGACCAATGTAAGAAATGATAAAACGAAACGTGTGGATAAGACGGGAGCAAGCAAAGGCCGGTAGCGAGAGTGACGAGGCATGCAGTTGGGAACTCAAGTAGGAGTCTCCCATAACAAACAGAAACTTTGAATCCAATCAAATCTAATCAAAACATCACACTTAGTCAACAAGATGCATCTGATCGCACCTGGTCTCACCTGGTCTCACCTGGTCGCACCTGGTCGCACCTGGTCTCACCTGGTCTCACCTGGTCGCACCTGGTCGCACCTGGTCGCACCTGGTCTCACCTGGTCGCACCTGGTCGCACCTGGTCGCACCTGGTCAATGTCCCCCACAACGAACAGGCGCTTGGAGTTGAGTGTTAGCAGCCGCACTATCTCGTACTGGAACTGGAGGGCAGGAAGAGAGGAGAGAAGCAGGGCGAGAGCAGGTGATAACATTGTTTTGCCGACTGAGGAGTCATTTTGAGTCGACTCAGATGTCTCTCACAACGAACAGGCGCTTGGAGTTGAGTGTCAGTAGCCGCACTATCTCGTACTGGAACTGGAGGAGAGGGAGACGACAGAGAAGCAGGGAGAAAGCAGGGGAGAAGTTCTTTCGGCCGACTCAGGAGTGGTTTTAAAGGCAGCTGAAATGTCTCCCACGACACAAAAAACAGGCACATAACACTGAGCCTTAGGAGCAACCGCACCTCATACTATTATTGAAGGGAAGGGAGGGAAGGCAGACAGGACGAATGCGTGGCAGAGAGATGCACGAATCTGCAGACGAGAGCAAGCAGAGAAGAGTTGAGAGGTGCTGCAACGCTGCCCACTCACCGAATCCGTGTCCTGAAACCCGTCCACCAGCACATGCTGAAAGTGCCGACGTCTCAAAAAGAGAGGAAGCAGAGACGAGACAAGAGGTGCTATAAAGCTGCCCACTCACCGAATCCTCCTGAAACTCGTCCACCAACACATGCTGAAACCTGCCGTGATACCAGAGACTGGTAGCCTCATTATTCCCTACCTCGCTTCAATATTGCGACACGTCTCATTATTCCACTCACCGAATCCGTGTCCTGAAACTCGTCCACGAGCACATGCTGGAAGCGCTCCTGGTATTTCTGTGGTGGCATGAGAGGAGAGGTATGGGAATGTGGGGGAGACGGGCATACGGACAAGGCAATCGTTGGCCCACCAGGACATATATATATAAATATACATAGACGTATAATATATATATATAAATATACATAGATTTACATGTACCATAATACGACTACAAATGCGAGGCTCGCCTTGAGCATGTGGGGCTGGGAGTGAAAGAGGTAGAGGAGGAAGTGCGTGGATGGGCGACAGAAAGAGGCACAAGCCTGAGAACGTGGGGGCTCACCTTGAGAACGTGGGGCTGGGAGTGAAAGAGGTAGAGGAGGAAGTGCGTGGATGGGCGACAGAAAGAGGCACAAGCCTGAGAACGTGGGGGCTCACCTTGAGAACGTGGGGCTGGGAGTGAAAGAGGTAGAGGAGGAAGTGCGTGGATGGGCGAAAGAAAGAGGCACAAGCCTGAGAACGTGGGGGCTCACCTTGAGAACGTGGGGCTGGGAGTGAAAGAGGTAGAGGAGGAAGTGCGTGGATGGGCGACAGAAAGAGGCACAAGCCTGAGAACGTGGGGGCTCACCTTGAGAACGTGGGGCTGGGAGTGAAAGAGGTAGAGGAGGAAGTGCGTGGATGGGCGACAGAAAGAGGCACAAGCCTGAGAACGTGGGGGCTCACCTTGAGAACGTGGGGCTGGGAGTGAAAGAGGTAGAGGAGGAAGTGCGTGGATGGGCGACAGAAAGAGGCACAAGCCTGAGAACGTGGGGGCTCACCTTGAGAACGTGGGGCTGGGAGTGAAAGAGGTAGAGGAGGAAGTGCGTGGATGGGCGACAGAAAGAGGCACAAGCCTGAGAACGTGGGGGCTCACCTTGAGAACGTGGGGCTGGGAGTGAAAGAGGTAGAGGAGGAAGTGCGTGGATGGGCGACAGAAAGAGGCACAAATCCGCACATACAACCTCACCTTGCACGTGGGCTCACCTGGAGCACGTGCGGCTGGGTGTGAAAGAGATCGAGGAGGAAATGAGTGAGGTCGTCAAAGTCCAACGCGTTGCTCCGCCTCAGCTCGTCCTGTCAGGGACAGGGAAGGCGGGAAGTGAGCCAGGGAGCGCAGGAAGCACGGAAAGGAGGGATTTTGAGCCGCTTCAAAGGTTGAGAGTGAAAGAGATCGAGGAGGAAATGAGTGAGGTCGTCAAAGTCCAACGCGTTGCTCCGCCTCAGCTCGTCCTGACAAAGAGATGGAGGGCAGGTAGTGAAGAAAGAGAGATGATTAATGGAAAATGCATGCTCGCCTATACATCACCCCTCAATTCGGGGTCTGTACAAACAATCTCTTGCAATCTAATCTCGTACAACTTGGCGTATCTGGGAATGGAGCCGAACGATTTTTGGGTCAACACACCACTTATCTCACCTCATCATGCGCAATGCCTTAGTAACAGAGTGCAAGAATCATTCCCATCTCACCTCGTACAACTTGGCATATCTGGGAATGCTGCCTCCTCTGCTCCCGAATTTAGAGGCGCCTCAAAACTCATCTCACCTCATCATGCGCAACACCTTAGTAACAGTGCAAAAATCATTCCCATCTCACTCGTACATCTTACTAACAGTGCAAAAATCATTCCAATCTCACCTAGTACATCTTACTAACAGCGCAAAAATCATTCCAATCTCACTCGTACATCTTACTAACAGTGCAAAAATCATTCCAATCTCACCTCGTACAGCTTGGCGTATCTGGGAATGGAGCCTCCTATGCTCCCCTCCCCTTCGAACCTCCCTCTCCTCCTCTCCCCCACTCTTCCCATCATGTCCTCTTTCATCCCCCCCTCCTTATACCTCAACACAGCATCCCTTATATTTTTTAACCGGTTTCCCTCCTTATCCCCATCTACCCCATCTCCGCCCACCCCCCCACCCCCTGCATCCCCCAGCACTTCTGCCACCGCTGCCTGTGCTGCTGACGTGGAGTCGAGTGATTGGAGAGAGAGATGTGACATGGCCTCGTATAGGCCGTCCGGATTGGCTCCTGCTGCTCCTCCTGCTGCTGCTGCTGAATTGGATTTTCCTGGCTGATACGGGCTGATCTTAGCGAGTCTTTCCTTCTCCTGGAGTAAACATGGGGGTTGAAAGAATGAGATGGATAGAGGGAACGGGGTTTGGGTTCAAGGTTCATGGGTTTATAAGCTCATGAGTTTCTGGATTCATAGGTTTATGATATTATCAATTGATGGGTCCATAGGTTTCTGGGCTCATGGGTCCATGGGACCATGGATTCATGGGCCCATGTGTTCATGTGTTTATTGCATGGATGGACCATGAGATGTGGTCTCACCTGTTTATCAATATCCTTTATCACTCGCAGTGAGTCATCCTCGTCGTATATGGTGTAGTCCCGGTAGCATCTGCAGGCAGAAAACACAAGCGGGTGGGAAAAATGAGGCGAGCGAGCACTGGGACGAAACATTGACAGTATAAGAATTTACATAAGCATTAGTTATCCTAAAAAAAAAAAAAAAAAAAAGGTGCACCCTTGCCACTGTTACTCGCCTTCGGTTGCGCAGCGACGGAAGCATCTCGCTTCTGAGAATGCGAGCAGCAATGCCGTGAAATGTGCCCACCTGCATGGCATGAAGGTGACGTTTGAGCTGAGTTGACTGAAGGTGCGGGCAGTCTAAGAGAGTAAATGTTTTTTTATGCTCCTCAAAAACAGTTTTAGAGAGTCGATGAGTCCGCAAGGGAGAGTGACGTTAGGGGAGGAGCATGATGATACCCTCAGGAATATCACTGTGACAGGCAGCAGCACACATGAACAATTGCGGTAACTGAGGTAACTGAGGTAACTGCAATGAATGTGGTGAATGTCTTAACTGTGACAAATGTGGTAACCGTGGCGTGGCGAATCTGGTAAGAATGGTGGCTCACATTGACGGCTGCAGCAGCCTCGGGAGACAAGAGGACCTGGAGACGTGTCACAAGCTCATTGGCTGCTCTGTTGGTGAAGGTGATACACTGCAGGCAGAGGCACGTGCATACAAAACAGGCACACGCACAGGCCAAAATGCCACGTCATCAAACTCCAAAAATGAAAACAAACTCCCGAAATTGCCATCACGCGCCATCCAGGCAACAATCCAAAAAAGCTATACAGTTCTTTTTATCTAGGCTTCAGTTTCAGAATCCATGCGACCAGCCAGCTTACCAGTATCTTCCAGGGGTGCACTCCGAGGTTCTTAATCTGGTTTCACGACCCTGTGGGTGAGCACGCGGATCTTGCCGGACCCAGGACCAGCCACCACTCGCCCACAGCCATCTGACTTCTGCAATTTTTCAAAAGCGTCATCTTACCAGTATCTTCCGGGGGTGCACTCCGAGGTTCTTGATGAGATTCACGACCCGGTGGGTGAGCACACGTGTCTTGCCGGACCCGGGGCCAGCCACCACGCGCACACAGCCGTGCGGAGATGCCACCACCGCTGCTCGCTGCTCGTCGTTCAAACCCTCCAGTCCGTCGCCTGATGCATCGCCTGCTGCCGAGCCACTGCCTGCTGTCGAGCCATTGTGTGCTGCCGAGCCATTGTGTTCTGCCGAGCCATTGTGTGCTGCCGAGCCATTGTGTTCTGCCGAGCCATTGTGTGCTGCCGAACCAATGCCTACTACCGAGCCAGCGTTTGATGACAAAATGCCTGATGAGGCATTGTCTGCTTGACCGGAATAGCATCTGATGTTTAGATATCGAGACGCTGCAGCTGATTTCGCGGAATTCATCCTGGGATCAGTAACGTGAGTGTAACGGAGGTGATTCAACGGATCGGATCGACCTAAACGCAGATTCGTTGAGAACCTCAGGGGTTTCCCTGGGCCAATGAAGCGCGAGGCGTGCACGTCAACCGGCAAAACGGATATCTGACGGTGGGTATTTAATGAGCTGACTCTGAGCCGAGTGATTGCAACCGAAGTGAATTCGGCAAAAGGTGCTGTCATTAGAACGCTCGAACTCGGTCTACAGTGTAGACTAAGAGTCTGAGAGGGAGATGCGGTGATAAGCGTTCTCCGCGTAACGTGGCTAAATTCCCTGACATGAATCGCGCGCGAATTCATGACTCGTGAAACGGCAGCCATGGCGGGACGAGCTGTTTGTCAGTGCAACGCATTCGACGCTCCCAATGGACTAGGAAGGGAGGGCCGGCCGAAGCTGAAGCAGACAGCTCAATCTGTTAGGAAACAATGGAGGACCCGAAGCTGAAAAAAACTTGAGAGCTCTAAATTCGCACACCACATGCTTGTACAACAAATGAAGGGCGCCTTGGGAATGGTTTTGCGCGAATTATCTACAGTAATGATTTCTCTAATCATACAAATAATGGGCTTTACTAGCAGGAACATTGCTCAAATGGTTTCGCAAGAACTCATTATCGTGACTAATTTGAATTCCTGTGCGAGAAATTTCAGGTCCTCCTCGTACACTGACACTTCTGACAGTCTCCTTTCCCGCCATTTCCTGAGCTCCGCATGCACCTCCTTTCTAAAAGCTCTCTGAAAATGAATTCCTCATGTGGTCAGAACTATCATCCATGGAGCTTACAGATTACCAGGATCATCTCTCACGTTGAGGTCATGCAATCAGCGTCATTCATTCTCTGTTTTTAGGGTTCTGCTTTCGTAGCTACTCCACTTGTTGGCACGTCTCTTGGAGGGATTCGCTGGCTTGGATCCATGTTTTAGTCCGATTTTCATTGTAAGAAGCGATTATAATTCGCAATTAGTGCGACATGGTTGGCGAATTAAGTTCCGTTGTCGAAGCTAGTAAGCCGGAATTCGTGAAGGAATCCGACGTCAGCAGTGACATCATCAGTGATCCTTGTAACGACGGGACGACGTTTTTGGAGGTGGAAAACGGTTCGCGTGCTTCACGAAACAGCGAGAGTTCGCATGTTTCACGAGACGGCGCTGTTACCCTTCGCAGCAACGAAGTGGCTGAAAGTGATCTCGATTCAATTCCCTCATGCTCAGATCCGCATTTTCGGGAATCCGTGAGCAGCGAACAACGTGGTGCCATGTCATGCTGCACAAGCTGCAATGTGACCGTTGACGAGACTCGAACGAGCGACAACGGGGTCGCGACCAGCGAAATCCACGCCGCGATCGACGCACACCGCAGGAATGGGAACGAGGACCTCACGAATCGGAGGACTGAGGAGACACATGACGAAGCTCGATTGCTCGACCGATCTAGTCACGTTCGTTGTAGTCACGCGAGCTGCTCCACGGACCACACGCCGTCTACTGCGTCAACGCATGTCAGGTCAACGCACGATGGGTCAACCGTTGGTCTTAACGTGCAGTTTGCGGATCAGTGGGCTCAGTCGCTCGGAGTGGCCTTCGGCGCTGTCATTTCCGAGGTGATTTTATCTTGCTCCTGGCTCAGCTCGCTTCTCACGGCCCATTACCAACTCCATCTCTGCACGCGTGAAGTTGCATTGCGTAATAGTTCGCCATCACCGTTACTCCCTCGCAATTTTGGTATCAGCACGATTACGATGTTTTTCTCCTCACTGATGGTTGAGGAGCTTACAATGGTTGATGCTTTTAACCTCACAGACCCCACATGCGACTCCACCTGCACGGTGGAGGAGCTTGCAATGAGTAATAATATGTTTGATCTGCTGTGTTGGAACCGTTCAGGTGGAGTCGCATATGCTGACGTCACAGAAGCCCATCCCTATCGATAAGCTTTCACAGGTAACTCCTCCCTGTAGCGCCTTGTCGCCCGACTTACCGCTCCGTCTTGACATCTTTCTGCTTGTATCATCTCCTCTCTGAATCCCACCCCCTTCCTGTTATCAGTATGCACACCTGCACCTCACTTAAGCCCGCAAGTTATACAACCAATTCGGATTCCCAATCAATTCCTAGCCATCTGCTTCCCCTCCCCTCTCTCATCTCCCCCTTTCCTACTTTCTCCTTCCTCCGCTCCCTTCCCCACCTCCCCTCCCGTCCCACCCCCTCCACCCACCTCGGTCACACGTCTCAGATGATAGAGGCTTCTCTGTCCGAGTTGGTGTTTTCCTTCGGAACACAAGTCGGCAGCACTGCAAATGCAGCACGCAGCACCAGCGGTGGTGGTGTAGTGACTGCTGGTACAGATGGTGAAGCAGCAACACTATGTGCATCAGCAATATGTGCAGCAGGAGCTGCTGCAGGGGCAACTGTAGGTGTAGCAGTAGCGGTGAAGCACGCCCCTCTTCCCCACGCCTTTCTCTCAGCAGCCCTCTCCACCTTCCGAACCTGCGCTCGCGTACGAAGAGCGCTGGCTCGGACTGTGCCAAACCAAGCCGTTCCGAGTCAGGCCTTGCCCAACCAGTCTGCTGCTGCTGCTTCTACTATTGCCGTTTCTAATGCAGCGCCGATTTCTGCTGTTGCTCCTGCCCCTGCTGCTACTCCTGCTGCTGCTGCCCCTGCCTCTGCTCCTTCCGCTCCTGGATCAGGGTGGCGGCTTGGCAGGCATGGGCATGGGTGTTCACGCGGAACAACTGGGGGTTTTGAAGGAGAGGGTTCAAGGAAGGGCGAGTTGGGGAAGGAGGCGGGAGCAGGTGCAGGGGAAGTCGCGGTGGGGAAAGAGGGGACCGTGGAAGAGGGGGTGGAGGATAAGGTGGTGGGAGAGGAGGGGATGGAGGAGGATAGGGAGGAGAAAGAGCATGGAGTGGGAGTGTTGAGCTCGCTCATTTCCTCGTATGACCCTATGGCAGCCGTGCTGCTGCAGAGTGAGGTAGCTGCGGGGGTAGAGGGTCACACGGACGAGCAGAAGGAGAAGGGGGAGAGGAAGGAAAAGAGGGAGCAGAAGGACAAGGGCGAGCAGAGGGAGAAGAGGGAGAGGAAGAAGGGATTGGATAAGGAGAATGGAGGAGAAGAAGAGGAGAGGGGCATGACGGGAGAGTGTAAGGCAGGCAGAGGGATGAAGACGGGTGGTAGCACGGGGAAGCAAGAGCAGAGCAGGAAGCACAAGGAAAAGAGTGCGAGGAAGAGCAGGCGAGAAGAGCCGAGGCGATTGCAAGAGCAGACCAAGAAGCAGCAGCACTGGCAGCAGCAGATGCAGCAGGACACACACGCTCCAGCACACTCGAGCAGGGACGGCACTCCTGAAGGCCGTTCGCCTCCGTCTCACGCATACCAATCCGTCTCACCATTCTATGCTCTTGTTTTTGAGGCGCCTCAAAAACAATCTTCTCGCACTCCTGAAAGCCATGCGCCTCCGTCTGACGCATGCCATTCCGACGCACCACCCCATACTCCTCAATTGCACTCTCCTGAGCCCCAGTCCCCCATCCCTGCCATCCCTACTCGTTCCGTCACTACAAGCTCCATCCCCACTCACACTCCTGAAACCCACTCGCTTCCGTCTCACCCATACCATTCCGTCTCACCACCCTATGCTCCTCTCTCGAACGCCCCTGAATCCATAGCACCCTTCCCTTCCTCTCCAATAGCCCCACCCACACACCCGTACCATCAGAGATCTACATCAGGCGAACCACATTCTTACGATCCGTTATCATCACACCTGCACCAGTCACACCTGCACCAGTCACACCCGCACCAGTCACATTCGCACCAGTCACACCTGCACCAGTCACACCTGCAACAATCACTCCTGTACCAGCCACATCCGTACCAGCCCATGCCAGCTCATCATTTGGCTCTGTCCGACGCCCATACAACCCATTCCCACACAACGCTTTCCCACGCAATCACAACCCCATCTCATGAATTCACATCCCACGCACTCACATCCCATACAGTCACAGCCCCCACCCCCTCTCTGCTCGCCCTGCGCTACGTAACCGCCCTGGAGGAGCGAAACCGCCTCTCAGCCGCCAAGCTCTCTCAATCCGCCCTCTCTGTCTCCCTCCACGCCCAACACTTAGCCGCCACAGACCGCTCCAATCACCTCATGGCTCAGAAGGTCGAGCTTTCCAAGGGGGAGAAGGCGAGGAGAGAGCAGGAGGGGCGGGAGAGGCGAGGCAGGGAGGAGCTAGCAGGGTTTGCCAGGGCGTGTGCTGATGAGTTGGTCGCAGGGTTGCTGGTGATGCTGGTGGTGATTGGAATGACTGGGTGGAGGTTTGCCGGGGAGAGGTTGGCTGCTGGTGTGGCGGCTTGCCAGGTTCGGCACGATCCTGCGTTGGACGCTTCGTCTTTTCTCGGGGTTTCGTTCTCCCGCCCGGACCGGTCGCTGGTGACGTGGCTGCGTCTGATTGGGTGCAAGCTGACCGTTGCCGGGCAGATGTTGTTAGCGTTCCTGGTCGCGTCGGCTACTACTTATATCATGTTACTCAATAACGTGGCTGCTGCTACAGGGGCGGGTAGCGCCCATTCCCGCCCAGCCACCACCATTGTGCTCTGCCTGGGGTGCGTGTGCGGTTACTTTGGGTTCTATGCGGTGCGGCTGGCAGGGGGGGATGCGCTGGTGTGGCTGTTGTGCTGGGAGGGACTGTGTGTGCTACATGCGGTGGTGGCTTGGCGGAAAGAGCAGCTGTTTCGGGTGCTGTATGGGCGCAGGGCTGGGGAGGAGGTGGAGGAGGTGGGGAGGGTGGGGATGGGAGCGGAGGGGGAGGGGGAGAGGAGAGGGGGGATTGGTGAGGCGTGTACAGGGTCAGGCTTGGAAGGAGGGGCAACAGGGGTAGGACGGGTAGCAGTAGCAGGAGCTTCGGCGACAGGAGGGGCAGCAGCAGGGGTAGCCACAGCAGCAGCAGCACAGGGGGTGCGGAGGAGAAGAGGCGAGAATGTACCAAGCAGAGAACAAACAGGGCCTTCTAGAGACACAGCAGGGCGCTCAAGAGAGCATTTGGAGAATAATGGCGACTCGGGTTACAGAGGCGATAGTGGGAGGGGCAGTGGGAAGGGCGTGGGGTGGAAGGGGCACGGCATCGGGAAGATGGTGGGGGGCGTGTGGAGGCGGATGGCTGAGATCGTGACAGCTGTCATGGATGATGACGTGGATGGGCTGGTGATGGGGCGGTGGTGGGCGGCGAACAGGCGAGGGGCGGGCGGCAGGTCGGCATCACGGCGCTCGTCTTCTTCTTCCGTGTGCAATCCAGCAGAGAGCGAGCTGTCGTCATCATCTGCAAGACGCTCCTCCTCGTCGCTTTCTGGTCGGCGATCGTCGTCTGTATCTGTATCCTCATCATCACCATCAGCATCATCGTCTTCAGAGTCTCGGCGGCCATCAGCCTTCTCAGAAGCAGCAGCAGCAGCAGCTGATTCCACATGTACAGATTCACCTTTCTACACCACCGTCTCATTACAGTCACTCTCGTTATGGGCACGCCTCGTCATCACTCTCCTCGCCTCCTGCTTCACCTCCATTCAGCTACTGTTCACCAACCCACGAGTTTTTGTCCTCATATGCAGCAAGTGGGGCCGTTCACACCTCCTCCCTGTCCTCTCCCATATCATGCCCCCTCCCCCTCCCCCATGGGTAAGACGCCTCCTCTTCCACCTCACCCTTCTCCTCCTCCTCCCTGTGGCTGCTGGAGCTCTGCCCTTTGTCACCTGGGCAGACGTTATTCGCTTTATTGGAGCGCTCTTTAGCGAGGTTTGGATGATGGCAGCAGGTTGGGTATGGCAGTGGGAGCCCCAGGAGCAGGAGAGAGGTTGGGATGGGTTGAATGGGCAAGGGTATGGACACAATAGCCCTCTTGGTGCTTCTGCTCCTCAGGGTGTTATGGGTGCAGATTCGTTTACAGCAGCAGGAGCATCAGCAGGGGCTGGTGCTGGTGGCAGTATGGCACGCTACTGGGAAGATGATTTGTAGAGTGTAGATTGCTTGTAGTGTGTCATAGACTGTTAGTAGCGTAGCAGGGTGCTTCTAGCTTGGAGACACAGCAGCCTTGGAGCATCAGCAGGGGCTGGTGCTGGTGGCAGTATGGCACGCTACTGGGAAGATGATTTGTAGAGTGTAGATTGCTTGTAGTGTGTCATAGACTGTTAGTAGTGTAGCAGGGTGCTTCTAGCTTGGAGACACAGCACAGGGCTGATGCAGATATGGTACTGGTCAAGTGGCTGAGGTTGGCTGTGGGGTATATCCCATACCGAATAAAGATACGTCCTCCATTGATGTGAGGTGGTTTGCCAACAACAGATCAATACCAACCTCACCCGAGTGCCTATCAGTTTATCTCCAGAACATTCCTTGCAGACACTACGTCTAACGGAATTTAGCACACCCCTTCTCCCAGCCATCCTGCATTCGTCCTTGGATTCTGCTCTAGTCGCACTTGGAGTGGCACTTCTTGGCATCTTGAGGCGCCTCAAAAGTCTTCTGCTCTAGTCGCACTTGCGGCGGCACTTCTTGATCTTCTTCTTGCACTTCTCGTACTTGTGCGTGCACTTGTGGTGGTCGTGCTTGTCGTCCTTGTTCTCGCGCTTGCACTTGCTGTAATCCGTGTTGCACTTCTTGTTCTTGTCCTCGCAGTCAGACCGGCACGACAGCATGCGGGGCGACCACAGGAACCGTCTGCTCGCGCCGAACAGCTTCCCCACGGGACCTGAAAGGAGAGGGGGCAAACAAGATTGATTTCGGCAAATAGACGCTACCACTCAGGAACCGCTTGCTCTCGCCGAACAAGATAAACAAGATTGATTTCGGCAAATAGACCCTACATAACTGAGGGTACCGCACAGGAACCGCCTGCTCTGGCCGAACAGCGCCCTCACGGGCCCACACGAGCCCTCACGTGACCTGGAAACATCAAGGCGAGAGAGGAGAAAGCAACGAACAAGGAGGCAAGAGACCAAATCTCACCTGTAGGCGCCTCGTCGGCGGAAATGGCGGCGACATCGACATCGTCTGCGTCGTCTTCCGCGTCGATCTCATTCGCGCGGCACTGCGGCGCCAGGGCGAGGGATACGAGCAGGGAGAACGCGAGCAGGGCGAAGAAAAGCTTGGAGCGCCTCATGACTGCAGCGAATGCTGAGGAACTAAGGAGAGAATGCGCCTTGATGGAGAAGAGTTAGATGATACAGTTGAGCTACAAGGAAACTGATGTTGAATACCCTTCTGTTATCGCTTTTTATACAAGCATTGGGCAGCGAGCTTAGGCCCTGAAGAGATCGAGCTTACACCGAGCCGCGGATAAGGTATTCGACCGTTGGTCGGCGGTAAAGGGTGGATCTGGTGGCGTATTTGGTCGGTGAGAGTTGCGCTCGACGACGTGAGGGTCCGACGAAAGCATATTTTCTTGGTGGGGACAAGTGGAGGAAGCGCGAGCGAGGGATGAACTTTCCCCCACCTGGGTGAACTTTCTTGCTGGTAGGGCGTGGGAAGGGAACCCTAGACGCTTCGATTTCTCGCAGTGCATGGGTTGGAGGGGGACGTGGGCTGCGCTTGCGCTGAAACGAAATGAGAAATCGGACCGCGCAATGCGACGTGGATAGGTTATGATGCGAGCGACTCGTTCCCGACGCGCGTGCCAGCACTTCACATACAGCCCAATCGAGTCGTTCAAACGAGTGTGTATTGTTCGCGAAAGTTGAGCGGCGATGGCGATATGTTTAGCGTAGCAGTTCGTATAAATGTCGCACGTCTGCAGCCCCTGGTTTAGTTTCGCGAAATTCACCGAGTTCACTTTCGTTGTACGGTACACGCCGCCCTGCTGCACATGGAGGATGCCCATGGGCAGGGCGAACATCGTGCCAAAACTGTTGTTTCGCATACAACTTCTAATGTGGATCGTTACACTTCGAGAGTGCAGTGGCTTTCCAGCTTTACAGGGCTTGTAGAACATGGTATGATCATGGGCCCAATATATGAGCCTATTAACGGTACATCTGGGCAGGCCATGTTCAATATTTATCCCTTGGTCGATGCTGCTTATTTATGCTGTTGGGGAAGAAGCGATTGCGAGCAAAGCTGCATTTTCCAAGAAGCTGTGATGATGGTACTTGCATGCACATAATGCTGCACACAATATCTGAAGACCATACCATCGTGTCCATGCTAAACAATTTCCATAAAACAGGTAACCGTTTTTAAGCAGCATGGATCCTCAGTTTCCTTCTGCCCTTCGGGTCTAGCATTCCCTATTTCCACCACCAAATCAGTGATATTTATCAGCGCAGTTGCCTGTTAGTTTGGAGTGCAAAATCTGCAATCTACCTCTGACCTGGCCATCTTGCTGTACACATCCCTGTAGCAGTTTATCTATCAGTAGCTTGCAGAAGCGGTGAATCTGCTTGCTGCCGGAGGCTGTTTGTGGTGTGTTTCTGGGAGCTGCGTCTACGTCACCATGGGCTAATGGTGTGACGTGCCACTGTTGTTGCGGTCGCCAATCCACATGAAAATCAATGTCAGACGTGTTCTGTTCTTACAGAAAAATACCTTCCATTCCGTAGTGAGCATAACATTCAGGTACAACTCTGACTGCCACTCATCTCCCAAAGCCATCCTACACACTCAGCGCCCTAGTAGCCCATCGAAAAGATACTTCTCATTCCAAACGTAATCAGACGCCATGTCAACTCTTAGTCGCACTTGCGGCGGCACTTCTTGATCTTCTTCTTGCACTTCTCGTACTTGTGCGTGCACTTGTGGTGGTCGTGCTTGTCGTCCTTGTTCTCGCGCTTGCACTTGCTGTAATCCGTGTTGCACTTCTTGTTCTTGTCCTCGCAGTCAGACCGGCACGACAGCATGCGCGGCGACCACAGGAACCGCCTGCTCGCGCCGAACAGCCTGCCTACGAGACCTGAAAACAGGGAGGGCAAGGGGAAAGCAATAAACGATGAGATTCAAGAAAAATCACGAAATTCATCTAAGCAGCGCTTTCTCGTGCGTAACTCATGAATAAGCCGCGCAGAGCGGTTGCACAAGTGAATTTGGCACGGCAGCGCGTGGCAGCACGTTACAAGTTTGCAGCAAGGGAAAATTCAACGCACCAGCAGGCGCTTCGTCGGCGGAAATGGCGGCATCATCGACGTCATCGTCCGCGTCGACTTCCGCGTCGATCTCATTCGCCCGGCACTGCGGCGCCAGCGCGAGGGATACGAGCAGGGAAAGCGCGAGCAGGACGAAGAAAAGCTTGGAACGCCTCATGGCTGCAGCGAATGAAGAGGAACCAGGAAGAAAAAACTGGTGTGATGAAATATATCAGATCGTTGGGAGGAAAACTGGTGTGATGAAATATCTCTAGTTTCAGCTTTTTATAAGAGCCTTGGGCAACAAGCAGAGGCCCTGAGGAGCACGAATCCACATCGTGTCGCTGGTAAGGTAAGTCGACTGGTGGTCGGTGATAAGGGTAAGCTGGCGGCGGTCTGGTCGGTGTGTGCTGAGCTGGACATTCTAAGGTCGCTACCGAAGCGGGGATTGCTTGTGTGTGGGGGATGCGGGGAAAGCTCAAGGGACGTATCTGTGCTCGAGTCTTGCACTTCTCGTTTCATGCATTTGGTTAGAAAGGGGATCGGATGGATGCGATGCGAGCGATGGGTGAGAGGGAGGGACGTGTGATCCGCTTGCGCTGAAACGTAATAGCGAGATCGAACCGCACAATGCGACGTGGCGACGCGTTCCTGATGCGCTGCGCCAAATATTACCCAAAAAACCAGCTCAGTCCAGTAATTCAAACGAGTTTGCGCGATATTTCTGTCCTTGCCCGGGTTGGCGAGAGCTCGGCTCAAAATATATATCCGTGAAGCGCAAAATCGTACACGTCAACTGAACGTGATTTATTGATGGAAACATCCGTATGTAGTTCAATGAGGTCTGCTCGGTATTCAAAGTGCCCGTGGGCAGTACGAGGTCATGCCGAAACTGGTGTTCGCCCCCAGCTTGGATATATACAGTACGAGTTGTTGTGAACTCATTCTATAACGTTGTAGACCATTGTGGTTGTGTGCGACAAGTTTGACATCCCTATAATGTATGGTGTAATATCAGGCACAATGTGAGGGAAGGGTCCTTTGAGCTCTGCTTTTGCTGTAATAAACTCTTCAAATGCACAAGAACCGGATCCATGGAAACGGTACCCATACAAACGACACGAAAGCTAATAATATGTTTGGGATGTCACTGCCTTTGTTTGCATTACATACATTCCATTATCAAGGCGTGTCCAGTATATTGGTACCTGAGCGCACATGAGCTTCCTTGTGCACACGCCTTATTCTCTCCCTCTCCATCACCAGTACCAACCAGCACATTATACAGTTTGTGGAGCTGAAGCACAATCAGGTCTCTTCGTACCCTCCTGTTGGCCAATTTGGCATCACAATTTTTGCTTCCTATCGACACACGCGAGCAGTAACATCATTTTGCAATCTTGTAAGGAACTTTCTTGCTATTCCTTACCGCGACCGTCCACATCGCGTACAGCAGCAGCCGTTGTTCGCCCGCTACTGTTAACGGGGCTTCGCCAACTTCGCGCACACTGTTTCACCAAACCTCGCACTGCTGGAGCAGCCGAGTCGGCCTACGCTTCGGGAGTAGCCCGAACCTCGCGACCGCGTAGCACTAGATAGCTCGCACGCACCGTAATACCGTTAGCACATTTTCGCGTATAAGTATTCGCTCATGCCTTCGCTCATACTTTGTATTCATTGACCACTCTAGTGCAATCATCGCTACCTCGATTCATTGCACCCGTAACACTTGGTTGTCAGAGCCACTTTCTTTCGGACCGCGCCTCTCCGCACCCTAGGAAATCAACTTTTGTTTTTTCACTCGAAGGGACTCACGCCCCTTAGCACCTAGGAGCCGCTGTCCTCGCGTTCTCTCGTAAACGCGTGCAGCCACGACTGCGCCTAGACTAAGCTGAGCCGACGCCCCTCGTTATGGCTGAACATATCCACGTCACGGGTCACGACGCTCACGCAGGACCGTTTGAACGAGCTGCTGCGACAACTCCACGAAAGCTCCGAAGAAATCGCGGGACTGAAGGCCGAACGCACGTCCCTGCAAAATGACGTCGCACGAGCACAACAAGCACAATCACAAGCACCTGGCAGTCCGGGACAACCGGCACCACAGGCATCGCAGCACGGAAGTGTGGGGCAACCCGCGAGCGCGGCCAGTGATGGCGTCGTCCGCCACGACGGAGACGACGACCACGGCACGACACACCCCGAAGCGACGAATGCGGCCAGGAGCAAGCCTCGCGTTACGATTTCAGCACCGACCAATGATTCGGCACTACCGTCACCGATGCCGCTGAAGCCACAGAGTTCGCCATGCTTTGACCCGAGTCAACGGGGTGGTCCTACTGTTCAGGCGTGGTTGTTCACGTTGAACGTATTTTTTTACGCCAACTACGTCTTGGAGGATAGGGCGAAGTTTCGCTACGCCGTGTCGCTGCTACGAGGACCCGCCATGGGCTGGTGGCGCGTCGTCGTCACGAAGCCGATGGACTACGCGACTCTACCGACATGGGAAGGACAAACTGGACCCTGGGCGCTGTTGTATTTCGTAGAGGTACCCCAATATCGCACATGGGACGCGTGGTGCGCAGGTCTGCGTGCTCCATTTGAGCCAATTGCGGCTTCGATCGTGGCGCGTCAGAAGCTCCGCACTTGGTGCCAACTCGGTTCCGTCCAAGACCACACTAGCGGGTTCCTGGCGCTGTGTGAGCAAGTAGGATACATGCCCGAAAGCGAGCGCATCGACCGCTACATCGGCGGCCTGAAGCATGATACCGCCCAAGAAATTCAGCTCCGCGGCGTCACCGATTTCCAGGAAATTCTCGCCATGGCGGAGAAGCTCGACTTCTTTCGCCGACCGAGGCCGGGGTCCTACGGAAGCAACAGCAACCGGGGACATCGATCTCGTGGGACGAACCAGGGCGCCACGATACGTGCCGTCGCCGCGAATGCCGCTGCCGCACCGTTCAAAGGGCGCTGCTTCGCGTGCAATCGGCCGGGACACCGCAAGAGCGAATGCCCGGAAAACGCTAAGGGAAAGGGGGAAGTTGAGCAGCAGAAACAGGCCAAGCAGCAGGGAAACACTGGGAGTCAGTAGCTGACGGGCCCTCTACTAACAGGTCACGCCGCTCACCCGACCCAACCGACCCTCACCGAGTGATTGTGCCGGCTCACGCAATCGACCACACCCGGCCGAATAAGGAGGGGACTACGGTAGACAGCCCCATACTGCTTAGTGGGAAAATTGGGACAGACTTGCGGAGAATAGACGATTGTGGGAGAGCCTAGACGCAGAGTTGCACGATCATAGAGAGAGGTGCAAGTTTTTTGTGTACGGACTTGTTGGAGACCGGATACTGGTATTTGGATAACAGCGTGCTTGGTATGCAGCAACAGGCTTGGTACGCAGTAACGAAAGGAAAGTGATTCATTATTTGATTGATTACAACAGATACAACATGAACCTTATAGAAAACATAGTGACGTATGCGAGAACGTTATACGAGAACGTTATTCATGAAGAACGTTGTTCAAGGAGAACGTGCAAGCACCTACTCTAGTATGCGGTTCCAGGTTGGCACCGCTATGTGAAAACGCCATCAGGTGAAAGTACCGTCAGGTGTATTTTCTACATGTCGAGGAGTAGTTGCGCAGGTGCTCGCTACAAACAGTTGCACATACTCGTTTGTGCAATATCGTCACTTCCCTCCAGCTCGGTCCAGTGTTGAACATTGCATACCAAAGTGCACTGTTGGAGTGTACTCGGCAAATACCGACGCTCCGGTATGCGGTATGCGAAACCTCGCTATATCGCATAGGGCTGCTACACGCAAAACCAAGCACGTGCAGGGCTTCACCTTAACAAGACTTAGTTAAAATATTCGTAGACGGGGGAGCCAGCCACAGCCTGATCAACACCGCCACGGCACGAAAACTGAGACTGCCACTGGACAGATGTTTACCTGAGATCGACGCAAGACTGGTTGACGGCACGCCACTGGCGATACGGGAACGCGTAGACCGTGTTCGGATTCGATGCGGGGGTAACTTCACGTTTATCCAGGAAATGCTCACGACAACCCTCGACGGAACCGACATTTTACTCGGCCGTGATTGGCTGCGACGACACAATCCGCGAATCGACTGGACGACGAGTGATTGCACCGTGCGAGTGAACAGTAACAACATCGCCTTACCTTGCTGGGGCTCGTCTAAGTCTTCGTCGGTGCGTGTCAACGCGATCATGATGAAACACGCCGTAGCGGGAGGAGCTGACGTGTACGCGGTCGACATTCGGGAAGCCGAGGCAGTAGACAAAGGGGGGGATTTACGGAAACTGCTAGCCGACATACCAGATGACTTGGCAGCACTACTGAAGCAGTACAGTGGGATTTTCCTGGATGACCTGCAGACAGGACTGCCACCTCAGCGACCGCACGACCACAGGATAGATTTAGAACCGAGGGCACAACGGACAGTACAGCAACAGTTCCGACTGACCCAACCCGAACTGGACAAACTAAGGAAGCAGCTAGATTACCTGCTCGAGAAGGAAATCATTCGCCCAAGTTTTTCACCCTTCGCAGCACCGATAATGTTCACACCGAAAAAGGACCGGGGTTTTCGCATGTGCATCGATTACTGCGCACTGAACAGGGTTACCATCAAATCCCGTTACCCCATCCCACGAGCCGACGAACTGATCAACCAACTGCGCACAACCCAGGTTTTCTCGAAAATTGACCTTCGAGGAGGCTACCACCAGATCCGAGTCAACCCACCCGACAGCCCGAAAACAGCTTTCCGAACACGCTACGGATCCTTCGAATACACCGTCATGCCTTTCTGACTGACCAACGCCCCCGCAACTTTTCAAATGACCATGAACGAAGCCTTCTGCCCGCTTTTAGATAAGTGTATCATCGTGAACATCGATGACATACTGATTTACAGCCCAGACAGAGCACAACACCTACATGACATTGAAGCAGTTTTTAAAATACTGAGTGAGAACTGCCTATTGACGAACGCATCTAAGTGTGAGTCTTTACAGGATAGACTGGAGTTTTTTGGACACATTATTTCAGCTGAAGAAGTGGAAATAGACCCGAAGAAGATCGCGACGATTCAAGCATGGCACGCGCCGACAAACTTGACCGAGCTACAGAGCTTTTTGGGGTTCGT